ATACTTATTTATGTCGCCTCTGGAAAGCTTCTCCTAAGAAGCACCACTGAGTCCCTAAACTATTTACTTTCTGGATTAAGCAATGACCTTTTATACTCCCATTGCAGGAGACATATTGGCCCCCACTGTATCTACTGTGGATTGCTTCTTGGCTCCCCCACACATATTTTCGGTTAAAAACAAAGTCTATGTGTGGCTTATGACTTTTTTTTTAGGTAACCCATGCGTCTCAGAATGCTGATCAACAAAAAAAGGCTTCACAGCTTTATTTAAAGATAGTGCTGGGAAAGCGTTTAGATGGCATACTCACCTAAGGCTTTAAACATGGGAGTACGTTCCTTCCCATATTACCCAGTACACAGTTCTAATCATCATCATCATCATCACCCTGGTCATTCCACAGATATATAAACCCTTTTTCCTAGTTCTAACAGACCTCACTACCTTTGAGGATGCTTGCCATAGATGCAGGCGAAACGTCGGGAGAGAATGCCTCTAGACCATGGCCAAATAGCCCGAAAAAGCCTACAACAACCCAATAATAATAAAACTTTATTTGTACCCTGCTACCATCTCCACAAGGGACTCGGTGCGGCTTACATGAGGCCAAGTCCACAGCACATCAATAAACAAAAGCGATAATCAATACAAAACAGTTAAAATAAAAACTGAAAAACAAAAAATACACAAGCAATAAACAATAACAATAACATACAACATTTAAAAACCTATGGCTGGGCCAAATGTAATAATTAAAATTAAAATTTAAAATGCTGGGTATAAACAAGGTAGGGTAAACTAGGATAGATTGGTACATTGTGTTTCTCTTATTACTTTTAGTCTTTTAGTTGATTTTTTTTAACAGGGGCTGCCTTAATAAATTTCTGTGAAGATGACACATTTAACATCAAATAAATAACACTGTGTAACAAAATTTGGAAAATGTTTTGCTCCTGGTTTGAAAGTGTTATTTCCCTTTTAATTGTGTGGTACTTACTTTGAAAGTAGTTGTTATACTCTAGAAACTTCGTTGCTGTGGTGCCACAAATTACCGTATATATTCGAATGTAAGCTGAGGCACCTTATTTTATCACAAAAACTGGGAAAAGGTATTGACTCGAGTATAAGCCGAGGGTGGGAAATGCAGCTGCTGCTGGTAAATTTCAAAATAAAAATAGGTGCAAATAAAATTACATTCATTGAGGCATCAGTAGGTTAAATGTTTTTGAGCATTTACATAAAACTAAAGATTAAAATGTCCAACTATGATTAAACCATTATTCAAACCTTTTTCAATGTAAATATGCGTACGTATTCTTCCAATAATAATAATAATAATAAAGAGTGAAATAATGTAATAAAAATAATACTGGAGTAAAATAATGGAAATGTAATAATAATAATAATAATAATAATAATAATAATAATAAATAAAGTAAAATAATACATGTAATAAAAATAATACATGTAATAAAAATAACCATAGAGAAAAAATAATAAATGACCTTGACTCGAGTATAGGCCAAGGGGAGCTTTTCCAGCCTAAAAAGGGGGCTGAAAAACTAGGCTTATACTCGAGTATATACAATATGTTGAATTGGTTGCGACTCTGTAAAATATTAATTTTTAAAAAATGTGCTGCAGGATGTCCTGCCAAAACAAAGTTTTTGCAGTTTAATAAACTTTTCCTATGTTTTTATGATAGAATCAGATAGGAAATGACATTAATACGGCCATTCAAATACCATGCTTGATCAGGGCAGAAGATATTTTGAATGAATGGGAATATAAGAATATGTATACAGAATGTAAGAATATGTATGGATATCCTTGTATTTCGTAAGAACACTTAAGTGACGCAAAATCATAGTGCATACTTCAATGTCTCTTATTTAGTTTTTATCAAGATCAGAGTCTTTGGATGAGAGATTTCATCATGTTTTTCCAGTATGATATCCTTCCTTGTCCTTTGATAGTTGTATTTATCTTTAAGTAAAGTGAAATATATAACTGTGACTTCCCTTCTTGTATCTTTTGGCTCTGCATGAGGAGTTGAAGGAGGATTTTTGAGTTTTTAACTTCCCACTCTTTTCTCACCACTTGAGCTGTAACTTATTTTTCGTCTTGCTAGGATAGGAATTTATGGAAGTGTCTCCATAACATGCTATTATTTTGGCTCCCGCAAGTTACTCGTGTTTTAATTTGTTAAATTGTTTATTACACCCTTACTGTTTTAAGTTATTTAACTTCATTTTGTTTAACCTCATTTTGTTGTATATCACTCAGAGATTTTTGGAAAACCACATGAATAGGCATTCATTGCACCTAGAGACCCTAAGAATGAAAGAGAATCCATTTTCCATTTCCATTTTCACTAAGCTGCTAAACTAGAGGTGGGAATTTGGTGCCCCTCCAGTGCTGTTTGACTCTAGATATTACATCCTATAAAACTGTCACAGCAGTAATTTTCCAGTTTTATATTTGGTTGTAGAAAGTATAATGTTGGCTTTTGTTTACATATGTTAGTGGGAGACAAAGTATTTCTAAGGTTGGAATACCTTTGCAGCATAGTCTTCAGTAGTTGATGTGATGAATCTTTAGCACTAAGGACTTAGGAGACATTGTTTTGCAAACATAAATAAAACTATTAATTCGAATCTGAGAACCAAATACATTTCCAAGTAACTAGTAGAACCTGACATTGCTTCTAAAATTGTTACAGATATATGTCACACCTGCAATTCACCATTGTTTATCTTGCTAGTGTGATTGGGTAGTGCTGAAGCAGCAAACTTTAAATGAATTCATTTTCACCTTCTCTGACATTCATTTGTTATGAGGTTAGCTTAGAAAATTTACGTGATGTAATATCATTTTCAAAGCCAACATTTATATGCTTGTTGGCATGCAAAGTGTTTAGCTCCTCTGTCCTTGTAGCAGCTTTGAAATAGACCTGCAGTGTACCGGTATGTCCTTCTCCCAAGTACAGGCAATTGCGGTTAAAATGGGACTTCATTCTAGATCTCCTACATGAAAAACAAACATGTTTTCTGTGCAGTAAGATTATAGAATCATAGAATCAAAGAGTTGGAAGAGACCTCATGGGCCATCCAGTCCAACCCCCTGCCAAGAAGCAGGAAAATCGCATTCAAAGCACCCCTGACAGATGGTCATCCAGTCTCTGTTTAAACCCTTCCAAAGAAGGTCCCTTTGCCACACTCCCGGGCAGAGAGTTCCACAGCTGAACAGCTCTCACAGTCAGGAAGTGCTTCCTAATGTTCAGGCAGAATCTCCTTTCCTGTAGTTTCAAGCCATTGTTCCGCGTCCTTGTCTCCAGGGCAGCAGAAAACAAGCTTGCTCCCTCCTATGACTTCCTCTCACATACGTATACATAGCTATCGTGTCTCCTTCAGCCTTCTCTTCTTCAGGCTAAACATGCCCAGCTCTTTAAGCCGCTCCTCATAGGGCTTGTTCTCCAGATCTTTGGTCATTTTAGTTGCCCTCCTTGGACACATTCCAACTTATCAACATCTCCCTTCAGTTGTGCCTAGAATTGGACACAGTATTACAGATGTGGTCTAACCAGGTAGCATGACTTCCCTGGATCTAGACACTATACTCCTATTGATGCAGGCCAAAATTCCATTGGCTTTTTTGCCATTGCATCACATTGTTGGCTCATGTTTAGCTTGCTGTCCACAAGGACCCCAAGATCTTTTTCACACGTACTGACTCGACCCAGGCATCCTCCATTCTGTATCTTTGCATTTCATTTTTTCTGCCTAAGTGGAGTATCTTGCATTTGTCACTGTTGAACTTCATTTTGTTAGTTTTGGCCCATCTCTCTAATCTGTTAAGAGATGAAACTAGAGTTACTTCAATCATTTGGACCTTTCAGCATCCTCTCTATCACAGAACGATGGGCATGGATTGCCAATTCCTAAGGTGTCCAATATATGAAGAAAGTCCAAAAACATCTCAAAGAGGCAAGGTAGTTAGGCTTTTAAAGAAACAAACCAAGTACAAGTTAGCAGGTATATATAAGTGAGGAATTTTGGAGAGAGAAACTAAGGCCCCTTTCACATTGCCCTATATCCTAGGATCCGATCCCAGATTATCTGCTTATCTTAGATTATCTGGCAGTGTAGACACTTATAATACAGTTTAAAGCAGATAATTTGGGATTAGATCCTGGGATATAGGACAGTGTAGATCCAACCTAAGATAGGCAACTGCAACTGTGCACTGTGGTTCACAAGCAGCCATGTATTAAAAATAACAAATAAACGGAATAGAATGAAGGGTAGCACATGGAACTTGGTGCGGGGAAAGCCTTGCATCCCCTCCATTTGGCAAAAACTGGCTCGAACTATGGCTGGTCTTTACCATCTTCTACTGGGTATAACCTCAAGGAGCAAAGTGTGAGACACATTCAGGCTGTGAGCAGGAACTAGAAGTTTAATTTTGTGGGTTGTGGAAAGTGAATGTAGCACTACACTAATCCTCAACTCCCAGCCTTCATACTTTATTTCTAGGCCCAAAGTCTCCCTCAAAAATAACAGTAGTGTTCAGGAAGAATATTAACTTCAAAATGCTTTTGTGTATAGATGCTTCACTTTTTTTTACATTTTCTCATAGGTATGACACATTTTTAAAGGTATATTTGTGACATAGCGGGAAAACTGTTCCCCCCTTTTCAGCTCTAGTGAGGGAAAAAACTACGACTGGATCTACACTGCCCTATACTCAGGATCTGATCCCAGATTATCTACTTTGAACTGGAATATATGAGTCTGCCAGATAATCTGGGATCAGATCCTGGGATATTGGGCAGTGTAGATCCAGCCTTAGAGCTTTCCTCTTTCCTGTACCATTTGCAGACAGAGATCATACGCATGTTGCCTTTGCCTGTGCCACTTCTCCCCAACTGTTGTTTCTGAACTTAAATTTGAACCAGAAAAAGACTGCCTTACAAATATTCATTGCTATCTTTGTTACAGAAAATAAAATTACCTAAGAAAGTATCAAAACGTTATGCAGCCTACGAGCTTTATCTCTATGGTGAAGGAATTTATGCAGAAGAAAATAGAAAACTGATGTTAAGTGGGATTCCTGTCCTTTTTCTTCCTGGCAATGCAGGGAGTTTCAAACAAGGTAAGCTGTAATTGAGGTAATGACCATATGGAGATTGTAGTTTTTCATAAATCAGGAAGATTTTGATTTTTGTAACAAAGGTAGTTTGAGTAGTGCATATTTTCCTCCATTGGTTCCCATTTAGTTGTGTCTGGTTATTAATATTCTATGCAGATGTTGTCACGCCATTGGTTGTATGATCTAGCTTGTAACCTTACTGTGTTTAAACCGTATTTCTAAAATTCTCAAAAGAAAGCTGAAAGAGTATTATTGAACATATCACACATGGATATTGGTAAATATAAAAAGGTAAAGGTTTCCCCTTGACATTAAGTCTAGTCATGTCCAACTCTGGGGGGTTGTGCTCATCTCTATCGCTAAGCCAAAGAGTCGGCATTGTCCATAGACACCTCCAAGATCATGTGGTCGGCATGACTGCATAGAGTGCCATTTCCTTCCTGCAGAAGCGGTACCTGTTGATCTACTCACATTTGCATGTTTTCGAACCACTAGGTTGGCAGAAACTGGGGCTAACAGCAGGAGCTCACCCCGCTCCCTGGATTCAAAGCGCCGACCTTTCGGTCAGCAAGTTCAGCAGCTCAGCACCTGAATTGTGCTGTCTTTGTCCCAGTCTATGTACTTTACGGAAACAAAGTTGGATTTCAGCATGGAAAATAAAGATTGTTTTCATAATCTAGCCTTGTGGAACCAAGGGGATATGTCTTGTAAACATTTATTCAATTTCACAATATTTTATTTATATTTAATTTTAATTGCTCATCCCAGAAAACTTTGGGATGAGCAATTAACAATCTTAATTTGAAAAATAGGATATCTGAGTAACTTCATATAAAATCAAGAACATCCAGCAGGCAAACACCTTTGCTATACTTTATCTTGCTTAGTGCTCAAGGTGCACTTTCTTAAGTTAAAAATCACTATTCTGGAATAATAATAATAATAATAATAATAATAATAATAATAATAGTTTGCTTTCAGAAGCCTGAAGTTTCATAGAACCAAATTATAATGATTTTTCTATTACATCTATTTTCATGAGACACTTGTGAATCTTTTCTCCTCCAATATAAGAATTATAGGGAGTTCTGACATCACAGCCTAAGGGATTTTCACCACTTTCTATTAATAGTTGGTTGATTTTTTTTCCTCCCTAGCACGCTCCCTTGGGTCAATAGCACTCAGAAAGGCAGAAGATATTGACTTGAAGTATCATTTTGATGTCTTTACTGTCAACTTCAATGAGGAGCTTGTTGCATTTTATGGTGGAAGTCTACAAAGGCAGACCAGATTTGTGCATGAATGTATCAAAGAAATCTTAAAGTTATATAAGGTAAAGAGATAAGGGTTCTGTATTTGTTTTTATTTATTTAAATAATCAGCTGTGTAATAGGTTAGAGGGAAATGCAGTTTCTTTTGTATTTTGCAAGGAAAATTTGTGTTGAAAGAATTGTCCATTTACATAAAAATACCTTTCCTAACCAGAACATACTCACTCTTATCTGATTTTGGAAACTAATCAGGGTTACGCCCAGTTTGTGTTTAACTAGGGTCCCCTCTACACTGCCATATAAAAATCCAGATTATCTGCTTTGAACTAGATTATATGGCAGTGTAGAATCCATTTATTTCAGTTCAAGGAAGATAATGTGGATTATCTTCTATGATTATCTGGATTATATGGCAGTGTAGAAGGGTTTCTGATACCATTAGGCATCTTCTGCATCTTTTGGTACAAGATTTGTGAAAGCACTGTGCTAATCTGGCTAGCTGTGACTTCAAGTGGGTTTTACTCGATATGGCAATGTTGTGTTGCAGATCCCACATGTATGGTGTATTCTATTAGCTTTCTGGCTGATGTGTTCAAATATTAATGCTATCCATTTAGATACTGCATTTCAAATAGCATCTACTCTTTCCTGTGAGAATTCTGAGTTCCCAGAATGAATTAGTACAGGAAACCTGTTCAGTTTTGCAATTTGCATCTAAATGCACCTAGTCTAGCATTGGTCTTGCCCTTGGCATAACAGTGAAATTCACCAGAAATGGGAGGGAATTACACCTCCAACACCACCACAACCCTTCCAAACCCTAACTTGATTTCAGTGGCATTTTGAAGTAATAGTGCTTGGATTGTGGCTGTCTTCCAGTCTAATACCTGGGGTATTTTTGTGAGGGAGTACAGCATGTTTCAGAATCCAAACAGAGGAAAGTCTTTGTTGTCATAGATTCTGAAATGCTTGACATTACATTTTGTTTGTTTCTTAAAGGGCCGTGTGTTTGCTCCACGCAGCGTTGCAATAGTGGGCCATTCCATGGGTGGCCTTGTTGCAAGAGCACTGTTTACTCTCAAAAATTTTAAGGCAGAACTCCTCAATATCCTTGTAACTCAAGCCACACCTCACGTTGCACCTGTAATGCCGTTGGATCAGTATCTTACTGGTAAGTTTCTTGGACGTGTGGTGCTTTGTTTACCTTTCTATTTTCCATAATGCTTTTGCAGTAATTTAGACTAACACTATAGAAGCTTTGTTTATTTTAACATATATTTTCCCCTGACTTAATTTTAAAATACAGGTAGCAAAATGAACAAAATAGAGGATACAAGTAGCAGAACAAGAGGATTAAGACTGGAATTATCCTACATCTCTCTAATGATAGTTTAGAAAGAAATGTCTAATGTGAACCTTCGAAAATGTCAATTCTTGAGCTCTGACAATCTTGTATGGAGACCATAAGAGTTTCACCATTGAACTACAACTCTGGAGACCAGGAGCCCTTCCACACAGCACTAGATCCCAGAATATCAAGGCAGAAAATCCCACAATAACTGCTTTGAACTGGGTTTTCTGAGTCCAAGCTCAGATAATGTGGTATTTTCTGTCTTGATATTCTCGAATATAGGGCTGTGTGGAGGGGCCCCAGGGTTTAATTCCCTGCTTGGCCATGGGAACTCAGTGGGGGACTTTGCGCAAGCACATACTCTCCACCCCAGAAAACCACATGATAAGCTCACCTTAGGATTGCCATAATGGGAAATGGCTTGAAGATGCATGATAGCAACACCAAGAATGTGTTGCCACATACCTGTGTTGATTAGCCATAATTCATAGATGATACTCCTAAATAAATTTAGTTGTTTATACATATCATGATGAGATTAAGAAAAAAGGAAGTGAGATGTTGACATCATGGCAGCCATGAAATATCTTCCTATAGCAGGCCTGTGTGGAATGTACTCCAATTTTAAGAAGGTGTAAATATTGGCCGCAATTGTAGTTGTAGTTGGTAAAAAGCATTCCCAAGTCCTCATTTGTCCTTCCATACACTGTGGTGATCCAACAGACACAAACACTTCTTCCTCCATTGTCAGGCATTACTCTTTTTTCTGACTTCCAGAGTCCGTTAGCTATCAATGTTTTGTCTTCTCTAAATCTGATGTCTCTTGATGTGCTTCCATCTAGTTTGTGGCTAGGCAGTGCATTAGCATTTAAGAGGTAGGATTATGTCCAAGAGACTGCAGCACTGAGTGGCATTTGTAAATGAGTGCCATCTCATTCCCAATTTCCTTGTTCTTTCCTGTGGTACTTTCTCAGTGTCTTCTTACAAGAGGAAGGAAATAGTTGGCATCTATGCAACCACTTAAAACAAGGTGGTGAGAAAATGAGTAGCTGAAAAACAAGCTTGATAGATCGATGTAGAGGTTTCCCCTGACATTAAGTCTAGTTTAGTCCGACTCTGAGGGATGGTGCTCATCACCATTTCTAAGCTGAAGAGCCGGCGTTGTCTATAGACACCTCCAAGCTCATGTGGCCAGCATGACTGCATGGAGCGCCCTTACCTTCCCGCAGAAGCAGTACCTATTGATCTACTCACATTTGCATGTTTTTGAACTGCTAGGTCGGCAAAAGATGGGGCTTACAGCTCACGCCGCTCTCCGGATTTGAACTGCCAACCTTTCGCTCAGCAAGTTCAGCAGCTCCATGATGTCTGCTTGAGTGAAATAGTTTGTTCTTTAAGGAGCTTTCCTAACATTAGATATCAAAACTGCTTAAAATCAATCACATCTTTTGCTGATCATGGATCATATGTTAGTTTTAGTAGGAAACAACCACAGCTTCATTAAATCTCATGCTTGAATGTTTTCTGAAAATAGTTTTTAGCCATTCCCCCCCACCCCAAATGGGTGCATTAAGCAACTATAAGGTGGCTTAAGTTTAATTTAAAAAAAATATTTTTATTGATAGTTATTATGCAGTTAAAAAGAAAGAAGAGGAACAAAGAATTATACCTTTTTGTACATCAAAAGTGGGAGAACATTATTGTTTTTGATAGAAAAGTAGGAAAGAAAAAGAGAAGAGAGAGGAACAAAAGAAAAAGGAACTGGGGGTGGGTGGTCAAAGGACCCACCAAAAAAAAAAGAGGAAAAAATATTCAAGAGTGGTACTAATATTTTTTTTAAAAAAACGATTAAAAAGGTTAAAAAAAGAAAAAGAGAAAAAAAGAAAAACATTTTTTTTTTTAAAAAAGGACTTCCAAGGGAAGAATGGCACAACAAAATCTTAGAGATAATATGTATGGATGAACTAACATATTGGTTAGCAACAAATCAAGGAATACCGATGAAACATACAAACTGGGACCTGGTGAAAGCGTATCTTAGACAATGGAAAATAGAGATTATTGCATAAAAAAGAAAATAAATTATGAGTAAAGAAGATCTGCGGGGAGTGAATTACAAACTTCTAAAAACAAAAAAGACCCTAAAGACCAATGAAGGTGGCTTAAGTTTAAGAAACAGCATTCCGTGTGTCAATTTTGTAATTCTAGCTTTTTTTCCTATAAGATTTGTTTTTCCCAAAGCTCTCAGAATGAGTTCAACTAAAACTGGGAGCGAAATTTTCTGGCAGCAAACCAACTCACAATGGGGTTAAGAAGTCCAATAGCTGGATGCCCCATAAGCTTGCAAAGGTTTGTTAATAGCTGTTAAGCCGACTCTGAGGATCAGTGGCAAGAGTTGACATTAGGTCCTTAGTAGAGAGTGTTGGTTATTTTAATCCTCCTGGATGTGTGGGTGCTTCAGCAACTGTATTTTAATGCTGCTTGGGCTGTATTTTGACAGAACTGGGACACTTAAGGGAAGAATGCTCAGTATCATGAACATCAAGTACAATAAAAATGACTTTGAGCTTTCCAAACTCAAATGTTGACTAATGGAAGTATGACAAAAAAAGTGATATAACTTGGGCACTATGCCAATTGAAAGTTTTACTTAGCCCCCCCCCCCCCAAAATACAGTTACCTCTGTAAAGGATTTTTGGAAACTAAAAACAATAATTAAAACTGATTAACTTCACACATACAGCAATCCCATCATGATATTTTATACATATCATGATGGGATTGCTGTATGTGTGAAGTTAATCAGTTTTAATTATTGTTTTTAGTTTCCAAAAATCCTTTACAGAGGTTAATCGCACACATATGTATGTTTTTTCCTTGTACCTTAACTGAAATATTAGTTTATCAAGCACAGATAATGCCAATTAACTATAACATAAGTGTTATCTTATTCAAAAGTAATGGGAGTGGCTAAGGTCCACAAAGAGTAAAGAGTCTGCAAGCTTGGTTGCCTTCGTGATAGTGAATTTAATTCTGGAAAACAGAATTGGGAAGCAGAGTGTCCAACAATAAACAGTAGCAGCCTTTCTGATTTTTTTTAAGTTGCTGGCATTTTATATTTTGAGCAAGTAAGCTAGGCTGCTACTATTTATGTGACGTGTCACTAATTCCTTAGATCTTTTCAGATGGAGAGAGCATGGAGTGTCCCACTGTTGAAATATACTTGTATCCTTCTTGTCCCATTCTTTATCCTTTCTGCTACTCTCTCTTGCCCCGTAACTAAAGCAGGCTTTTCTCGCTTTGAACCCTCAACACATTTCCCTGGACTTGTGCTTAGCATTGCAAAAGAAAACTCATCTTTTGTGGTCGGCCTGTCTTTTCCATCTCTGTTTATCTCCATCTCATCCAAACAGAAAATAAATAATAAATGACTGGTCATGTCCCAATATATTTCTCTTGCATACAGCAAAGCCTGTTTGGCATTGACAGTTTCGGAATATGTATTATGAGGCATTTACTATATTAACAATCTGAATCTCAGTACATTTGATTTGACGATATTTGTTTCAGTTGGGTTGCCTTTAAGGCTTCTGACTTAATTTGGTTTCTGTGGGCTCATTCGCATGTTTGCTCTTTCTGGATTAGCACATGTCAGCCTTGTCTTTGCATATCTGGGGAAAATTACACCTTAACATGGTATCATCTGACTATCATCTGCGACCAGATTGCTATCTATTATTAATTTAGTGTATGGAGAGGAGATATGTTAGCACCTTAGACAGTCCTTTTTTCTCTCTCCAGCTGTGCAGACATGAGTGTAACTCTCGAGAAGAATACCATATCTGAATTAGTCCTAAAAACTGAGGGCAAGTTGCTTTTATTTATTTTGAAGCGACCCAGGCCCCTTCAACACTGCCTTATATCCCACGATCTCATACCAGATTATCTGTTTTAAACTGGGTTATATGAGTGTCCACTGTCAAATAATCTGGGATAAGAAAATATAGGGGCAGTGTGGAAGGGGCCCCACTTCCTTCTCAATTCTACAACATTTGATCAATGGTTTTAATAACCACCTTCTTTGGGCTGCTCTCCTCAAATAAACCCTAAAACTGATATTTCAGAAGGAGGGCAGGAGTGGGGTAAACAATAAAATAAAAGTAAATATTAAAAAAGGAAGTAAAAAAAAGAGTTGTGGTAATCATAGATATGATTCAACAGTGAATATAAAATATTACTGAACATATTTTAAATAAGGTCTCCTTCTGACAACTATTGAAACAGTGTTCTTCTCTCAGATTTTTACAGAGCTGTGAACCATAACTGGATTCGAAAGGCCAAAGAAATAAGAAATCTGACCACTCTTTCTGTAGCAGGAGGATTTCGAGATTATCAAGTTCGCTCAGGCTTGGCTTTTCTTCCCAGATCAAGTCATCAATACTCTGCCCTATCTGTTGTGGTAAAACAAAACTCCTGTTCTTTAGATTTTGGAGGGACGGGTAATAAATAAAAATTATTATTATTATGGGTCTGAAGAATTGGATGTTTAAACAAGCTTTTGAGAACATCTAGCCCCAATGGTCTGCAATCAGTGACATAGCACTGCACTTTCATCTCATGTCCTTGTTCCTTAGCTACAATTTGCACTATCCCATTTCCTTGTCTTGTTTACAGTCTGGACATGTTTTATGATAGTTATGACCATAGGTTATTGGGCTTTATTCTGAATTTTAAACTATTTTATATGCTATATGTTTTACTTTATTATATTGTATCATATGTTTATATTATGCTCTGTTTTAGGCACTTTGCCATATATAAGCCGCCCCGAGTCCCTTCGGGGAGGTGGAGGCGGGGTACAAGAATAAAGTTGTTGTTGTTGTTGTTGTTGTTGTTGTGAAGGATTCTTCCTAACCATTCTTGAGTGATGTAATCCTTGCCTTAAGATCTCAGTCCCAGTGGAGAGATTGTTATTTGTCATGACATATATTTTGGGATCCCTTAATCCCCATAATAGAAGCATAGGGTGTTGACTTTGTGCCTGCTGTAAAAATGGTTTCCCTTCCAAATGCCTCTTCTAAAAAAGCTGTTTAAAAGCTGGCATCCTTCTCTCCATGTTGGACCACTCTCCAGCATTAGTACCAAAAGGGTTATGAATAAGTTTTTGGTCAACTTCCGATTTGGTTTGGTTATTTGAGGTGTAGATTCAGAAAATTGCATTGGATAGACCGGCTCTAGTTTCTGATACAGAACCTATGCCATCCAGTAGTCACCATCTGCTTGCACACAGAAAATTATATTTAATAAGCCTCTGCACTATAAGAGGGTTTTGCGAGACCAGTTGCCCTTGTCGCAACCGTCTAGTAACGGTGATGCTGTGGACCATATTTTAGTTCTTGTGGTCCACTGGTGGTCCACGGACCACAGGTTGGGAACCATTGATGTATATGAATGAGACATGTCAGTCTTGAAAATTGAGTGGATGCGCTGAAATTGTTTGCAGTGTGGCATAGTGGATGCTTTCGTGTGAAGTTTTAAGTTTCTAGGAATGTTACTATTTATAAGTAAAGAAATCATGTAAATTGTTTCTTTCACAGAGTTCATCAGTTCCTCGGGTATGGGTATCAACAGACCATCTCTCGATTGTTTGGTGAGTACCTAAAAGCATGTTCTGTATCCGAATTGGCACCCCATCATTCTGCAATTTGCTTTTTGTTGTTGCAGATCTTTATATGTAAGCCGTTCCCTTGTGCTTTCTTACAGGTGTAAAGAATTGATCTTGGCTACAGTCAGAGCTTTTTTTGATCTTATCGATGAAGATACTAAACAGGTTTGTGCTTCTTAAGACACTGTCTCTGGGAAAAGCACTTACAATTTTTAGAAGTTTGAATTACTATTAGTAGTGAATATATCAGTTTTTATTGATGTTTGCTGTAATCTATATTCTGTCAGAAATTAAATTTTAGTAGAAATATGACCAACAGATCTAGCTGTCTGGCATTAGTCATCAAAACATCTTCTTGTATGTCACTTTTTAGATTACAGATGATCCACAAAAGAGAATGCTAGTGTTGAAACACCACTTTCTGAAGCATCCAGCAAAATTCTTTGAAGAAAGGCCTGAATTAACTACTGAACTAACAGGTTTTAAATATTTTACTAATTCCTCTAAAGGTTAAGCTTAACAGTGAAATCTTATAAGTTATTTATGCAGCACCCAGTTGGGAAAAGTTCTGTTCAGCTTTTCCATCTGTGTTTTGGACAACAATGTGAAGGAGAGCAAAGTATCAGGAGAGCACATGGGCCCAGCCTTATGAGGTAGACTGCCGCTCCTATCTTTCTAACTAACCCTGGGCCCAGGGAAGTCTAGGCCTCACATAGTGCCTCTGGGCTGCAAAGTAGTGAAACATTTCTCTTTCTTTGGCCAGAAACTAGGGAAGTGAAGAAATCAACTGAATAGGTGTGGCTATTTGAAAATGAACTCACATGTGTATTAAATGTGAATTTGCAAGGGTAAGGGGAACATAACAACATGTAAAGAAACAGTGCAGAGAATGTGTTGTCGAAGGCTTTCATGGCCGGAATCATTAGGTTGCTGTGAATTTTCTGGGCTGTATTTCCACGTTCCAGAATGCTTCTGGAACAAGGCCGTACAGCCCGGAAAACTCAAAGCAACTCAATGCAGAGAATGATTAAAAAAAAAAAACCTTTAAAAAGCAAGAAAACTATGTACTCTAGCAATCTTATTAGTAACAGAACTAACAGAAGCATATGAAACTGTAGGAGGGCACTGTTTGTAACACTTACTAACATGATTTTTGTTCCTGGGTGTAAGGATGCCCACCAATTTGTAACGGTTTTGTAAAGGACAACCACTTTGTAAGGGCTTACTAAATTGATAACATAGCGAATAACTAGTATTATTAAAATTGGACTTTCTTCAGAGTGTAGCGTGACTTAACTTAGAAAGCATTTGTAACAGAGACCGGGCTTTATAAAAACTAACAAGTTTATTGAAATATAGCAGAAGCTTGATGGTTTCAAAGTTTCTTACTCTTAGAGGCACATATCTTCAGAGGTTACATTTATAACATTCCTTAAAACAACTCTGGAAAGGACTCTTCCTTCTACTAAACAGGCTTTAAACTTATTTTTCTTCAAACTATGTTTCTTTCCTTAATAGATTACTTTAGATACAAGCTTATTCTTTCCTTGTGATATTTCTGTTGCAATAAAGATTCTCACTGGGTTTCTTCCACCCTGTCTACTCATACACTAAATACTAATATAAATAAGTCAACTCGACTTATCTAAACTACTTAGGCTAAAAGCCAAAACCTCCCTGATTCTCACTACAGTAGAATCAGCCTTACCCTATAGTTTTTAAAATATAGATTACCTTCCTGGTTCTCACTACTACAGAACCAGCCACTCCTGCAGTTCACAGACTACAGACTGCCTTACTGGTTCTCAATACACCATAGAACCAGCCTCCCTGCAGTTTGCTGACTGCAGACTGACTGTTTTAAAATGGCTGCCCTGCCAAGTTGCAGTTGGCTCCACCCCTTTTTCCATAGCAACTCAGCTCAAAGTGAGCTGAGCTGGCTACCATTCTCCCCAGTTATGCAACTTTCAATACTTACCCTCTCAAACGCCTATCGATAATTATACATAACAGTAGATTTAAAATTTACACTTCACCACACTGGGTTACAAATGTCATTTCCTATTTGGTTCTATCATAAAAACATGGGAAAAGTTTATTAAACTGCAAAAACTTTTGTGGGACATTCTGCAGTACATTTTGCTCTAGTTTTTCAATGAATATCTCAACGAGTCTCAACCAATTCAACCTAGTTTGTAGCAGTCACAAAAATGAAGTTTCTGGAGTAGAACAACGACTTTCAAAACAAGCACCACATGGTTAAATGGAAAATAACACTTTCAAACCAGGAACATATTTTTTTTCAAATGTTGTTACATAGTGTAATCTTTCACAGATGCCTTGTTGACTCATGAGATTTTCAGTCTCAATAGCATCTTATGAGGGTATATCCTACACTTGGCACACATGACTAATTTTAGGAATTTGGTGTGTTCTAGGATTTCATTATATTAAGTGTTCAGTTGGCTACCCCATTAGAATTGGCAAAATAAATGCTTACGCATTGTTATTCTTATTCCGTATTTGTATTGGACTACACCATTCTTTGTGGAAGTCTTATTCATCACAATGCTGCTCTGTGCAGTTATGGCAGAGAAACCTCCCAGATTCATATAGGCCTCTCCCACAGGGAAGCCCCCAGTGGCGCAGTGGGTTAAAGCACTGAGCTGCTGAACTTGCTGACCAAAAGGTCGCAGATTTGAATCCGGAGAACAACATGAGCTCCTGCTGTTAGTCCCATCTCCTGCCAACCTAGCAGTTTGAAAACATGCAAATGTGAGTAGATCAATAGGTATCGCTCCGGCCAGAAGGTAACAGCGCTCTATGCAGTCATGCGGGCCACATGACCTTGGAGGTGTCTACCGACATGCCGACTCTTTGTCTTAGAAATAGAGATGAGCACCACTCCCCAGAGTTGAACGCGAGTAGACTTCATGTCAGGGGAAAATCTCTACCTTTTAACCTCTACCACAGGAGCCACCAGAGTTGCAAAAAGGGAGTATTTCCCAATGGCATTATTTAAACAAAAATTTATGGTATTTTAAAGGAGCATATAAACTATATGACATGCTGAAAATTACTTATATCCTATTAGAATCAAGCAATAAAACTGCTTGTAAATACATGTGTGTGTATTATTTTCATTTTTTTTAAAAAATTATGGTGCTGCAAAAAAAAGGGCTAGGGAGGATGAATTTTATTCCTGAATGAGAAAAGTAGTTCATTTTTTTCAGAACCAGGAAGATGGCTTCAGATAAAATCTTCAAAATGGTCCTACACAGGATATAATGTAAGTAAGTTTTATTTTTTGTATGGACCTTTTGAGATAATTACTTTAATATTTTTCTTCCAAGCTTCAGGTTGGATCTACTCCCATATAGGTCAGGATCTGATCCCAGGTTATCTGCTTATCCCAGATTATCTGGTGGCATAGACTCATATAATCCAAAGATGATAATCTGGGATCAGATCCTGGGATACAGGACAGAGTAAATCCAGCCACAGGTAGTCTTTACCAGACCTTTCGGGAAATTCTGAAGTTTAAGCCTAGAACCTTCTGTGTTTAAATACTTTTTAAAAAACCCTTTATTTTTTAATTATAAAAGGGAAAAGAAAGGAAAGGATTGTGGGTAGCCCTTCACATTTACAGGTTTAACTTTTGTGGATTTGATTATTCACGGATTTGATTAATTAATATATTCACCTGAGGAATATCTAGGTCCTCCACTGCAACTCTTTGGTAAACTTCCATTAGAAGTTTATTTATTTATTTATTTTGAGTATTTTTACCCTACCCTTCTCAACCTCTTGGGAGGGACTCAGGGCGGCTTTCAGCAGGCAACAATTCGATGCCCCCACGTACACATAAAATACAAAACAGAACAATGATTATATATAGTTAAAAACAATCAGTCAATACAATTAAAATCTAAAATATTCCATTCTGGTGGTCATTATCTAGCCGAATTCTGTAGTTGGAGACTACAGTTAACCTTGGAATTGCACTGTAGGACTTAGGGCCCTTCCACACTGCCCTATAACCCAGAATATCAAGGCGGAAAATCCCACAATATATGCTTTGAACTGGGTTATCTGAATCCACACTACCATATATTCCAGTTCAAAGCAGATAAATAGTGTTCTTTTATTCACAGTTTCTCCCCCTCCCCCCCCCCCACCTTTCATGAGGGTCTTGCATTCCTAACCCCAATGAATGTGGAGGGCCTACTGTATATAGTACATGATTTGGGGTGAGTGTAAACTTTAGCATTTGCATCCTAAAGTTAGTTTCTATAAAACAAACATTCATCCTTGATTGAAACAGGAAATTTGTTTGATCATGGAACAGTGGGTGATGTGTCTTCTAGCCTTTGAGTGTGGGACTTGGAGCTGCATTAAGAGCATACATAACAAAGTTGTTTGGTTTCCAGGCTGTATATCTGTGTTCTAGCAACATTTTCTCCTGACATTTTGCCTGGCATCTGTGGCTGGCACCTTCAAGTTTATTTCCCAGTTCCAGAAATGGCTTAAAAGTAGTTACATGAAGGCAACTGGGAGTGGCTAATGATATTTTAAATCTAGGCCAGCAACCTTGCTATTCCACATCGTAATGAGCATCTTTTTCTTTTCCTTAACAGCAATCGGAAGGAAAATATTTCACTTTTCACCTCTCAAGCCACAGAAAATTGTATAGTCATGTCTACTGTCAAAACAGTATGTTGGTGAGAAAATTATGTTCTTGTGAGTGTGTGACTGCGTGCTGGGTTTTTATGAAAAGAAATATTTATTTATTATACATGCTCATGTGTAAGTCGACCTGGTGCATATGTTGAGGGTAGGTTTTGTATCCAAAATTATAGATTTTGATGTGATCCGTGTTGGTTCATTCTACTAATGCTGACCCAAAGAATGACCCCCCCCCCTCCCCTGCAGTCAGCACTGCCCCTTCTTCTTCCAAGACATTCAAAAAGGCCACAATCTGTGCCATGGCACAGAGAATAGAAGGAGATAAATGCTTCTTTTTTCCTGGAGCAGACTGAGCTCTCTCCTTTCATCAGTCTACTCAGAGAAGCGAATGGCTCCTTTTATGCATCCTAAAAACCTTCTCCGTAGCAGAACAGGTTTCTGGAACCAATAAAGTCAGCAGAGGGGAGGGAGGCACCTTGAGAAACCAGTTAGGCCAGTCAGCAAAAGGACAGGCAATATTTTCCTGTAGTAAGTGAGGAAGACATGGCTCTATGTGTTACACAGATTGTGATATTCGTAATAGCTTGTCTTAGTTGCTTTCTGGCGCCTCCTATTATTTGTCCTTTCCTTTTTTATGGCAAAAAATAAGTGCAAATTGTCTCTCCTAGCAACCTGAAAGAGCAACAGTTTGCCACTTAGAGAGGTTACAACACCCATTGCGGGTCAACAGTAAAAATATTCCCCCCCCCCCCCCCCCCCCCCAAAGCCACAACTAAATTTTCCATCATTTCTGGCTGGGAGGCCTTTTAGGTAGTCCACATGATCAACATTGTGTTCTGAGGTGGAAAATTGCCCTGATTCCATGCACTTCCATGCCTATCCTGTTGTAGTCCTCAGTTAGTTAACATCAAGGAAGTGCCGATGGGAGTCATAGTGGAGATAGCCAAAATTTCCTAAGGAAAGTGCTTTGAAGAGGATGCTGTGTTGTTTTGTATTGTACTCTTTGTAACTGCTTTCAAGTTTGATTACACTATGTAACTCAATTGTTATTCTCAGGCTATAAATGACTTTTTTTTAAAAAAATAGATTTTATTTATAAAGTTGTCCAACAAAATGTATAAGTATACATTCTTCTCTCTTTTTACAGTATCTTAGACAAAAGAGTATGTCATATTATATACAATCTAATAGTAATAAATAAATAAATAAATAAAAGGCTATAAATGACATTTCCTAATTGGTTCTATCATAAAAACATGGAAAAAATATATTAAACTGCAAAAACCTTGTTTTGCAGGACCTCCTGCAGTACATTTTGAAATAAGTGTTTATAACTTACCAGTATATCTTTTCCCAGTTACTGGCATACAGTGAAACCACACTGTTGTATTTAGGAGGTGTGGAATTCTGATACAAATTGTGGTCAGGCCTAGATGTGAGTTCAGTGGAGTTCTTCATGCAAAATCTTCTCAAAAGCTCTTCTAAAGAACTTGGGTCTCTCCAGACTTTCTTGGGTCCACCTGGACCAGTTTGTGGTGGTGGTTCTAGGGAATGCAAGGAAAAATTGGCAAAATCCACCATCCTATATTGTGGTTCCCCCCTCCCACCCCCATACCCATCATGCATGCAAAGTTCCCTTCCATTTGTGGTTTAGCATGACTATTATGAACTCAGATTTAGGCTCTTTAGAGATTACGCTGGAACAAGATTTGAAAAATGTTCTGTACCTGGTTTGAAAGTGTTATTCCTGTTTAATTTTGTAGTGCGATTTTTGAAAGTAGTTGTTACACCCCAGAAACTCTGTTTTTGCAGCTGCCACAAACTATGTTGAATTGGTTGAAACTCTAGGAGATATTCATTAAACGACTAGCAAGATGTGCTGCAAGTTGTCCCGTAAAAACAAAGTTTTTGCAGTTTAATACATTTTTCCGTGTTTGTATGATAGAACCAATTAGGAAATGGCATTTATAATCAGGGAACAAAAATCATGTTACGTAGCATTATGATTGAATATGATTGAATTTCTACTATTGCTTTTGGTGGACATTTTAGCAGACAATTACATTACATTGATTGTTGTTGTTACCATTATTATTATTGTCAAAGGCTTTCATGGCCGGAATCACTGGGTTTCTGTGAGTTTTCCGTGCTTTATGGCCATGTTCCAGAAGCATTCTCTCCTCGGATACTTCTGGAACATGGCCATACAGCTCGGAAAACTCACAGCAATCCATTATTATTATTATTTCTCGTTTTCCTCTCCTAAAGGAAACTCAGTCTAAAAGGTTGAAAATTCCAAGGATTAAATATTGATTAATTTGTTAAAATGTCTAATAAATAATGTGAATATATATTGAAATATGTTTCTATCTTCTTTCTTTGGGTTTATATATCAGGATACAAACAGTTGGATATATGGCTGTATAAATGGTACCTCATCTACATGGTAAGTCTGTTTTATATTTCATAATACAAAACTGCTTGAGTCAGAGCCCATTGTAAATGATTGCTATACTGATGCCCTTGAAATATGATGAACATCAGCTTTGTGTGAATGCTTGTTGCTTTCTGGCCTTTTGTATTATACTAGGGATTCAAAGTACCTTAAAGCTGCCTTAATCCACTTCTTGGATTAAACTGAATCCCTATAATGCTATGTTAGCTGTTTATTTGGCTGTAATGAATGGAATCCTCCTGAGACAACTAGATTTTGAATGTAAAGCAGCTAAAGCATCTCTCAGTTGTATAAAAACACAGGAAAGAAACAGGAAAAAATAACGGCACAATCAAGCAGACACGCCAACATGTTTCATTTAACACCTTCAACAACATTTTCATGGTGTACGATCTGCCTCGGATATGCATAATCATAGAATAAATAAAGAAAAAAGGTTATTTGAAGTATATCAATCACTGTTAAATTGTGCAGCTCTGTGCATAATACTTGCTTAATTTTCATAGTCTGCAGGCTGTTGATTTGACTTGGAAAGCTGAACTGCTACCAACAGTTAAGGTAAGATGTTTTGTTTCATATATTTCACTTCCCATTTAGGTTCTAAATTATTTAGAGCAGGGCTACTCAAAAATAGTGGCCCATGAACTGGTACCTTGAAATTATTTCCTGACAACTTGGTTTCAATTTTCTACAACTCATTAACAAAAAAGAGAGGACAGGATCGATCTTCAAAGACACATGACAAGCTACAGAGACTACCTTCATCAAATAGATGAAGAAACAATGTTTTAGATTTGCTTTTACTTTCTCTGTCAGGATGTCTTTTATTATGAAAAAAGATTTAAATGATTTTTTCAGGTCAAACAATATGTGTATTGCTTTACAGACCGTGAGTCTGAAACTTCAAGATTATCCTTCTTTAACTCATCTTGCACTTCATGTACCAGCTGTCAATGGAAATAAGGTAAAAATTCAAGATATGTTGTGGTTGTTCAAGCAGTAAAATTGGAGTACGTAAATTTGTGTATGGTTTTGCATGTAATGCACCCAAGTATAAGCATTACAGCTAGTATGAAAAGCAATTTAGTATCAAAACACACACATGGGTGAAAAATCTACATCTTTGCTGACAGACCATACATAGAGTGCTCTTACTCCATTGTGTTAAGAGTCTACAGCAGGAGTGGGCAAAGTTTAAGTTACAGGCTCTCAAGTAATTTTTGTGACACTCAGGAATCCAAAATTATCTCAAATGGCCTCTGCAGTGTATAGAGGCCATCTTCACTGCATTTGGCGTCATAGTCTCTGAGTCAGAAAACTGTGAAATATTTCCATAGAAATTGTCCCAAAATGAATTCTGAGTAATGGGAAGCATATCCACCATGTTTTTGAAGGTCCCTGGAGCAATTTAGACCTCGAGAAGTATTTGTTAAAACAAAAAACAACTTCTGCTCACTTTCTGTTGTTGAAAAAAAATTCCTCTCCTGGACCTAAGGGTCCAAAATACTGGGAAAGTGGCCTATAGAAAGTATTTGGAGGTATTTTGATTTTTCTTTAGAGGTGGGTGCGGCACAGGTTGGCCTCCAAGGTCTCTTGGAGGACCAATGCAGCCCCTACCCTCCTTAGTTGCCAATCCCCTATCTAAATGAATGCAAATACATATTTGAGGTTCCACAGACAACTCCCAAAGGCTTTTGGTCCCAGCTAATTTATTTGAGGAGGACATTACCCCAAATATTAGTTGTAAAATGCCATCAATTAATATTATGTAACTAAATTTGGAAAAAAATGTGTTCCTGCTTTGAAAGTGTTATTTCTTGTTTAATTGTGTGATCCGTACTTTGAAAGTAGTTGTTCTACTCCAGAAACTTAATTTTGTGGCTGCCACAAACTAGAATGAATTGGTTGAGACTCTACGATATATTCATTGAAAAAATATATCAAAATGTGCTGCAGGGTGTTCTGCCAAATCAGGGTTTTTGTAGTTTAATAAAACTTTTCCATGTTTTTACAATAGAACCAATTAGGAAATGATATTTATTATCCAGAAACAAAAATCACGTTACATAATGCAATAGTTGACATTGTAGTTTGCAGAATATATATTTATTTACTGTATTTGTATACCGCCTTTTTCAGCCTGTGAGTGACTCAAGGCAGTTTACAAAAATCATAATACAGGTTAATATCATAATACAGGCTAACACATTAAAACAATATAAAACACAATAAAAGCAATAAAAACAACATCATTAGCATCTCATTATTATAAAAGCATTGTCCAATTCCATCATCAAGTCAACATATATACATATGACACAGAAGTGCATATGTTACTGAATAATACTTTCTAAGTTTTATAGAAGTAACATGATTAGAAACAGTTTCTATAGCCTACTAGAGGGAGTTAATGGCTTTGTTGGGCCTTGAACCAGTGTTTCCTAGTATGGACTCCTGGTGTTCAGCCTATTTTCAAACATGAAATGATATGGGAGGGCTTTCAAGAATTCGGAGTAACCGAGAAACTTTTATATTGCTTTGTCTTACTTTATATTATGTTGTTGCAGTTTACCTTGGACTGTGAGTTCTTTAATGAAGCTTCAAGAACATTTCAGCTCCCTGTTACACAGCTTTTTACTCTAGGTAGGTTTATATTTGTATTCGGTAAACACAGCATATATGTATGTATGTATAGTATTCCCTCACTTATTGCTGGTGCTACGTTCCAGGATCACCCGCAATAAGTGAAAATCTGCAAAATTGGGGTATTTCTACAGTTACCCCGCGATTTGTGAATTTTTGCAAAACAATAATTTATTATCTGTGATTCGAGCACATGAAGCCCAGGACGCTGGGTACCGAATGTACAGATAAAGCCAGACTACAGGTTTTCCTACAGGACACATGACCTCAGTGGCAATGCTGGCCAAAGGGTGGTGAGGCCAAAATCACCCAGGCCTGGGGCAGGCCGCTGAGGAAAGGAGGGGGGTAAAACCCTGGAGGGAGCCCAAGGCCAGCTGAGGAGAAAGTCCCTGGCTAAAGGGAAAAAAAGAAAAAAGTGGGGAGAAGGAGACAAAAGCTTCCCCAAAAATTGGGCCAAAGGTCCAAAGCAAACCCATTTCCAGCCGCTGGAGAAACCAGTGCTACTGCGTTCCTGTTGCTTCTGCCACTACCAAGTTTGCTACCAAGATTGCCAGGGAAGGCACACTGGACACAGTGAAGGCATGCAGCCTGGTGTGGCCTTCCTCAGCCCAGCCAATCGAGGGAGACCTGGGTCCGCCTCCCATTGGCTGGCCACCCCACTGGCGGGAACTTCTCGCGCCACCGAGGGGGCTGCTGGCGGAAGAAGGAAGGAGGAAAGGCGAGGAGGAGGAGGATGGATCTGGGGGTGCTGGGCTCGCCTCGGAGACCGCACAGGGAAAACTGCGAAACAGCGAGTTCACAGCAAGTGAACCGCAAAGCAGCGAGGGAACAATGTATGTATGTATTAAGTAGGATCATTTCTTAGTAACTGTTGGCTACATAGTAGGAATTCTGTGCACACTTGCTTGGAGAAAGTTTCACTGGACACAATTAAGTATATATGTTACTTCTGATATGTATAGGATTGTGTGGTAAGTTTAGCTATGGATGGACATGTAAAGCACCAATTTACTAACAATATTTTGATATATCAAATGAGATGTTTCCCCTTTGCTATGTACTTTGGAGTTACTACTTCTAACACAAGGCAATCATTTCTGCAGGGCTTTCTTCAAGCAAAATCCTATTAAATTCAACTGGCTTTTTTCACAATGTTCAGCTCCAACATTTTGGTCAGGTATCAATACTGATTACTGAATTTCATACTTTTTATATTTTGATGTTTATTACTTCTTTGTGGGAATACCAGAAAACTGATGTGATGTATTGTTTTGTTTAGACACATCAGGCTTTTAAGATCCTTATAGAGAGCCACTGCCAGTCAGTGAAAGGTAAGATTTTGCTTCCTTAAATCACTTCAAAGCGAATGCAGAAAAATCCTTCATATGCATGTTCCCCATTACATACTTGTTCTGTTTTCTATATTATCATTGTGTCAGCATTTATTTTTAAGTTTGTTTATAAGACTATTTCCCTACCAAATCCACCTTCTTGGACATTAAGCTGCCATTGCAGCAAATAACATTCTTTTACATGTTTTCTGATGTGGAAAGTTGATAATACTTTCCTGTCTTGTTACTAATATATATGTTACCTATGGTTCAAGTGTGAGTAGGACACATCCATATAAAGTTTACGCTCCTTCTCTCCTGCATTTGAAATAATATCTCCTAATGTTTATTTTATCCTAAGTTATATTAGATTTCATAAACATCTTTAAAAAACAACATAATAGCCAAAACTTGCTTAGATCAATATAAAGCATTACAGGGCAGCTCTTTCGTACCAACTTCTATGTTGTGGTAACTCTTCTAGATGTTAGCTGGCATCTTGTAAATCAAGATTGGAAAAGTTATTATTTGAAATGCTCTGTGGTTTGATATATACAAGTCCTACTTCACTATATAAGTGGAAGCTCCAACCCCTAATTATAGCATGTTGGAATAATTGCAAAATGCAACTAAGGCATGTATTAAATTGACCTTGTCTTATTTCCTTAAAAATAAATTCATGTTGATAAATGTTACTATTTTAGTCAAAGGCACTTTGATCACACTAGTCGCCAGGTCATCCAGTTGAGAAGTTGACAAAGTGTTTAAAAGACTAAGATTAATACTTGGGGGTTGGTCTGTATTTTTGTGATTAATTTTATCTCCGATGTTTCCAGAGCATCAGAAGATTGAGGAAAATATTTGAAAGGAAAATATTTTCCTTTCCTTTTGCTTCCGAACAAATGAGTTAGAGATAAATCTTTCTAAATATTAAGTGAGATGCAAGAATATGTACAGGAGCACTAATTCTATTTTTTTCAGTGCATATAGGCTGAAAATATTATCCTTGGTGAGCGCCTGAGGTGTTTCACAAAGTTAGATTGTATTGTAATCATTTAGGTTTGGAACTTCAATTTCAATCCTATTCAGAAAAGTAGGTCTAAATTTGCTTATGTTTCAGAAAATTACTTTCAATTCAAATGTATATGTGTGTGTAAGAGAGAGAGAGAGAGAGAGAGAGATACAGTAATTAGATCAGTAGTTCTCAACCTTCCTAATGCTGTGACCCCTTAATACAGTTCCTCATGTTGTGATGACCCCCTCCCCCCAACCATAACATTATTTTCCTTGCTACTCCATAACTGTAATTTTGCTACTGTTATGAATCACAATGTAAATATCTGATACTTTCATTCACTGGACCAAATTTGACACTAATACCCGATATGTCCAAATTTGAATACTGGTTGGATTGGGGCGGGGGATTGATTTTGTCATTTGGGAGTTGTAGTTGCTGGGATTTATAGTTAACCTACAATCAAAGAGCATTCTGAACTCCACCACCAATGGAACTGAACCAAACTTGGCACACAGAACTCCCATGACCAACATAAAATACTAGAAGGGTTTGGTGAGCATTGACCTTGAGTTTTGGAGTTGTAGTTCACCTACATCCAGAGAGCATGGTGGACTCAAACAATGATGGATCTGGACCAAATTTGGCACAGATACTCCATATGCCCAAATGTGAGCACTGGTGGAGTTTGGGGGGCGGGGGGACGGGACACCTTGACATTTGGGAGTTGTAGTTGCTGGGATTTATAATTCACCTACAATCAAAAAGTATTCTGAACCCCACCAATGATAGAATTGGGCCCAACTTCCCAAAACAGAACCCCTCTGACCAACAGAAAATACTGAATTAGATCATACAGAGATGGAAGTAATAGAGTGACGTCAATGTGATGGAAGTATTCATCACCTTTAAAAGATCCAATTGGCATTCTTTCAGTCCTTAATATTTGATACAGGAAAATTCTCACCAAGGTCTGACTTTCAACAGCCTAACCATATGATGTTTTCATAATGTATTCCCATTTATCTCTTCCAGAACGAAAACGCAGCATATACCGGCTTCATATACCTTGGTCGCATGAAGATTCCTTCACTTTGTCTCAGTAAGGATTTCACATTCTTTGGAGGCCTTGCAGTGTATATCCTATAATATCTAACAAAATTAAAAAAATTATCTGTTCCTGGTTTGAAAGTGTTATTTCCTGTTTAATTGTGTGGTACTTACTTTGAAAGTAATTGTTATACACCAGAAACTTTGTTTTTGTGGCTGCCACAAACTATGTTGAATTGGTTGAGATATTCAGTGAAAACCTCTAGCCAGATGTGTTGCAGGATGTCCCTAAATGTTTCCCATGTTTTTATCATAGCGCTAATTAGGACATGACATTTACAACCCAGGAATAAAAATCATGTGACATAGTGTAATGCAGTCTATCAATCTGCAAATGACAGATATAAGTATCAGTGCGCTCTGGCAATAAGCAGGTGACAGTTTTGGGATGAGACTATATAATTTAACTTTGGACTGAAGGTATCACAGATATCAGCCAGTCACTAAAGTCCATAGGGAAACCTGCTATGTATATGCATTACTTAGCAGCTTTATGAATTTTTTTTAAAGATAATACTGCTGTTATTTATGATAGTGCTGATGAAAATATTGTAGGGGAGGGGCCTTATGTTGAAACATTATGCTAGTAATCAAAACATATCAATAATTTTCTGGGAAAGCTGTGCCAGAAAGTTGCTGCCAATGAGGCTGAGAGAAAAGCAAGTAAAAATAAATACATCAACAACAGGAAAAATAATATTTCTCCATAACCCATGTGGTTATTTTGGTCTTTCAATCTCTCACATCTGGGCCACATTCTGGAATAATTTTTAAAAAATGTAAGAAAATGTTTTCACAGAGAAGACATAGGATGCCGCCTGGAGCAAACATATATAATGATGATGGTTTCTTAAGTAGAAGTTCAAACATTTTTTTATCTCAAAATTCCCTTTCTTTTTTTGGCTTCGGAATAGCTAGTGGAACATTTGTACTAATATTAACCAAGATTTCTATCATAATCAAAGTTAGCAGACTAAACACACAGCTGGTTTCAAATTGTTTGATATGCAGACTGTGATTAGTGATGGTGCAGAATTACTGATCCACTTGGAGCCCCCGGTGGCACAGTGAGTTAAACCCCTGTGCCGGCAGGACTGAAGACTGACAGGTCGGAGGTACGAATCCGGGGAGAGTGCGGATGAGCTCCTTCTGTCAGCTCCTGCCCCCCCCCCATTTATTTATTTATTTATTTATTTGTCATGTCGAGCAACCAGACATTTGTATTACATTTTTAACAAAACAAACAAACAGATAGACAAACACACAGTTTGCAAGCTTGGTAGTTGATTAAATGTCCTTTGACCAGTATCTGGCCACTTGGAGTGCCTCTGGTGTTGCTGCAAGGAGGTCCTCCATTGTGCATGTGGCAGGGCTCAGGTTGCATTGCAGCCGGTGGTCAGTGGTTTGCTCTTCTCCACACTCGCATGTCGTGGATTCCACTTTGTAGCCCCATTTCTTAAGGTTGGCTCTGCATCTCGTGGTGCCAGAGCGCAGTCTGTTCAGCGCCTTCCAAGTCGCCCAGTCTTCTGTGTGCCCAGGGGGGAGTCTCTCATTTGGTATCAGCCATTGATTGAGGTTCTGGGTTTGAGCCTGCCACTTTTGGACTCTCGCTTGCTGGGGTGTTCCAGCGAGTGTCTCTGTAGATCTTAGCTCCCCCTGCGGGGACATGAGAGAAGCCTCCCACAAGGATGGTAAAACATCAAAACATCTGGGCGTCCCTTGGGCAATGTCCTTGCAAACAGCCAATTCTCTCACACCACAAGCGACTTACAATTTCTCAAGACGCTTCTGACATGAAAAAAAACCCTGATCCATTTGTCAAAATAAGGCTGCTGTGAATGTCTAACCTTGAGGTCTTCATTGTAAGTTCAGACTGAAAGAGAATTGTGCAATATATCCTCCTTACTGACAATGTTGCATGCTGCTTCTATTATACCATGGTATTACATGTTTTTGGATTTGATGTTTCCACATTAGTATTAAATAGGAATATGTTTTTAATAAATATCCTAGGATTCCATCTTCGACTGAGATTTCCGCAAAGCTACACATTGCGCAGCCTGAAAATGATACGACTGTTCCAGTGCTAAATATCTATTCTTCTCCGGATTGTCAACATGAAGTGAGTAGAAGCTCTCAAAACATTACAGGGGCCTGTAATGAAAAAACAAGCAAACATTTTTACAGTATTGTGCTGTTTGTAATGTATTTTTGGAATTTAAAGAACACAGTACAAATGTTAGACCACACATATTTCTTTCACAAATTCAGTACTGTTATCACTTCAGATGTTTTTCAGTTTTGATGAAATCTGAACACTGATGTTCCCATTCCATTTATTTTAATGCTTTATAGTGATACACTACCAACTAGAAGGTTAGATAACACACTGTAACAGAATTTGAAAAAAAAATCTATTCCTGGTTTGAAGGTGGTATTTTCTGTTTCATTGTGTGGTACTTACTTTGAAGATAGTTGTTAAATTTCAGAAACTTTGTTTTTGTGGCTGCCACAAACTATGTTGAAATGGTTGAGACTTGCTGAGATTTTCATTTAAAAACTAGAGCAAAATGCGTTGCAGGATGTCCCACAAAAACAAAGTTTATTCAGTTTAATAAACTTTCCCCATGTTTTTGTGATAAAACTAATTAGGAAATGACATTGATAACCCAGGAACGAAAATTGTGTTACGTAGTGTATATTTTAGATTGATTTATTGAGTTCTTTTATTTCCATAATCTACCTGCCATGTATCAAAAGATCTTAGGTTGAAATACAACATAATTGATTGCAGTCATATTCCTTTGAGTCCTTCTCAACTTATGGCGACCCACAGGTTTTATGAATGAGATTTATTCAAAGGCAATTTTGCCTTTTTCTGGGACTGAAAGAATGTAATTTGCCTAAAGTCACTCAGTGGGTTTCCATGACTGAACAGCCCTATCCTGGAGAGGCTGTTTACCTGATTCTGGGACCTAAGACCTCAGAGCTGCTGCTTTAGTTACAGTTTAGTTAGTTACAGGTTTGAAGGTTAGCGCACACTTTGAGTTGTGCTTTGCTGTGACTTTTCCAGGCTGTATGGCCATGTTCCTGAAGCATTTTCTCCTGACGTTTTGCCCACATCTATGGCAGGCATAATCAGAGGCTGTAAATAAAGAATAACACTAAAAAAAACCCAGGGGAATTGCAGACAGGAACACCTCCCAAAAAAAGATTTATCTCAAGCAGGAAGCAGCCAGGCATTGAAGTTGCAAGGCCATTCAATGCTAATCAAGGTGGCCAATTGCAACATTGACACTTGCCTCCAACAGACAAAAGTTCTTTCTCCCATCCTGGACATTACACAGGTATATAAATCCTACTTGCCTAATTTCCAACAAACCTCACAACCCCTGGAGATGTCTGCCATAGATGTGGGCAAAATGTCAGGAACGTGGCCATACAGCCCGGAAAATTCACAGCAACCTAGCGATTCTGGCTATGAAAGCCTTCAAGAACATATTGAGTTGTGGTTGGAAAATGGAATAGCAGCCAGTATTATCTTTTAAAAGATGAACAATTTAGTTCTGATGTTATTTGTTGTTTTTAGAAGTAAAGCAGCCCAACGTGTAACGTTCTGCAACAACCTAATGTGAAGGTGGTATGGCCCTCTATCTGCAGGCATCTTTGTTTATGAATAATTGAAATTGTTAGACCAGGCTAAACTAGTAGAAAATGCTTTGCAATAGACTACCTCTAAAACTAGAGTGTTATCAAGTTCAGTACTATAGTTTTTAATTTTTAAAAATGTATTTTTACCTTTTTGTGTGTTAAACTAGGTCACCGTCAAGACCTCTTTTCTGCAAGTTCTTGGACAGGTAAGACTATTCTATTTAATTAATAATTTTGTTTGATGCATGATCAGCATGAAGTTAAGTGACACACAGTTTGTAAAATAACCGGATAAAACATTATTTGCATGGTAGGTGTTTGTAGCAATGGAGAATGATCCAAAAAGTGTCTGTAGCACTTGCCTAGTGACGCAAATTATTCTGGCCAGCATTACTCCTGATCCCTGGTGCAAGGTGCCTAGGAAATCAATAATGGATGTTAAAAGTCCACAAACTGTTCGCCTTAATTCATGATAGTCTTTCTCAGTTTTCGGCCAATAGAATTGGACAACCATAGTTATTCTGAGCCAGTATGGCCATGATGAAAACACCCAACTGATCAAATGAGTTAGTCAGGTAGCACATGTTATGGTTATAAACACTTTGATTATAACATCATGTTTCACCAATTTGAAAAAAAATCTGTTCCTGATTTGAAAGTATTATTTCCTATTTAATTATGTGGTCCTTACTCCGGAAGTAGCTGTTCTACTCCTGAAAACGTTGTTTTTGTGGCTGCCACAAAGTATGTTGAATTGATTGAGACTCAATGACATATCCATTGAAAAGCTAGAGCAAAATGTGCTGCAGGATGTCCCACAAAAACAAAGTTTTTGTAGTTTAATAAACATTTCTCACGTTTTTATGATAGAACCACATAGGAAATGACATTTATAACCCAGGAACAAAAATTGTGTTGCCTAGTGTAATCCAGGGGTAGGAAAAGTGTAATTCTTCCCTGGGTTGTTTTTGCCACCCTTAATTCATTTGAGTTTCTCAAACTGCTTTTCTTCTGGATAAAAAAGGGGTGGTTTTAGGCATGATTTCAGAAATACTGCTACTTATGCATTCCTACATCCTCAGTCACTTGTGCGAATATGGAGCGCAACAAACAACTCAGCATCTGTATGTATGCTTGCCCACAATGCCCTGCCTCACGCACAGAGGAATAAATGTTTAAAGCTATGGTCGCTGTTGCTCATTTTTGGTCTAAAATTATTTGGCTTCTTGTACTCCTTTAATTGTATTATTTTTATAATTATTTATTATGCAATGTTCTTGACTCAAAATAAGTTAATAAATAAGTGCCAACATGCTGATTTGCTGGCCAAGAAAGAAGTCTATCTTGAGATTTGGCCAACAGGGTTGTTGTAGGTTTTTTCCAGCTATATGGCCATGTTCTAGAGGCATTCTCTCCTGACGTTTCGCCTGCATCTATGGCAAGCATCCTCAGAGGTAGCTCACTACCTCTGAGGATGCTTGCCATAGATGCAGGCGAAACGTCAGGAGAGAATGCCTCTAGAACATGGCCATGTAGCCCGAAAAAACCTACAACAACCCAGTGATTCCGGCCATGAAAGCCTTTGACAATACATTTGGCCAACAGTTTTTATAACTGCAAGAGCCATTCATATTCCATTTACATAGGCATTGGAATACTGTATATACTCGAGTATAAGCCAACCTGAATATAAGCTGAGGCACCTAATTTTACCACAAAAAAACTGGGAAAACGGATTCACTCGAGTATAAGCTGAAGGTGGGAAATGCAGCAGCTACTGGTAAATTTCAAAATAAAAATAGATACCAATACAATTACATTAATTGAGGCAATCGTGCGTTAAATGTTTTTGAATATTTACATAAAACTGTAATTTAAGATAAGACTGTCCAACTCAGATTAACCCATTATTCTAACCGTCTTCAATGTAAATGCACTTATGTAGCCTTCCAATAATAATAGAGTAAAATAATAAATATAATAATATTAATAGAGTAAAATAATGGAAATGTAATAACAGTACTTATAGAGTAAAATAACAATGTACTAACAATAATAACTAGAGTAAAATAATGTTATAATAACAACAATAAAGTAAAAATAATAAATGTAATCATAATAATAGAGTAAAATGATAAATGTAATAATAATAGTAGTAGTAAAATAATAACAACAACAATAATAGAGTAAAATAATAAATAGCCTTGACTCGAGTATAAGCCAAGGGGGACTTTTCAGTATAAAAAGGGCTGGAAAACGAGGCTTATATTTGAATATATACAGTACTGAAAATGAAAGAGAGGTTTTTTAAATTGTTGGCTTGAGTTTTCCTTACCCTGTTAGAAGTGCAGTGCTGAGAAAAGGCATAAGATGTGAAGGGAATTGTTCTTATTGACAGATCTTTACAGGCTGTTTTTTTAAATGGCATCCTTGTTTTTGTAGGTAATAAGGTTCCACGGTGGTGTCCTTCCTGTTTACATTATTTCTAATATTCTTCTTGCATATGGAAGACAGTTAAAGTCCCTGATTTCAACAGGTAATGTTACAAGATTTTTTTTTTGTAAAAAACAAAAACAAAACAGGTTTATTTCATTGATACAAAATTAGAAAAGCGGATCATAGAATCATACAGTTGATCCAGTCCAACCCCCTCCCAAGAAGCAGGAAAATCTCATTCAAAGCACCCCCGCCAGATGACCACCCAGAGTCTGTTTAAAAGCTTCCAAAGAAGGAGCCTCCACCTTAGAGAGTTCCACTGCTAAATCCATTTTATTTGGTTTTGTTATGAGGTGGTTTTTTAGTACACCTTGCAGATGAAACAACACTCAAGTGTGTATAGAGAATTGAAAATTGGTATTGTATACACTTTAATACAGTTAATGTCTTAACTGTGTTCTCACCACCTGGGCTGAATATGTTGGGGTGGGTTGATAAGGAAGAGTCAAATTGTAGTAGTTTAAAATTTCAAATTTACCCTGTATTTCTGAATATTTTTAGCGTGCGATTGCCTTCCAATTTCAGCATTGTTTTCTTCCCATTCTAGGCAAATGCTTAGATTTTATTCCTGCACTGACTAAAGCAGCCAGACCTTATAAAGTGGAACCAATAGTCAATGTCACCAAATTCTTATTGGGGTAAGTTCCTAATATAACAAATTACACTAGATTAAAAAAATGGATTTTTTTTCTGTTTCTGGTTTGAAAGTGTTATTTCCTGTGTAACTGTGTGGTACTTACTTCGAAAGCAGTTGTTATACTTCAGAAACTTCATTTTTGTGGCTGCCAGAAACTTGGTTGAATTGGTTGAGACTCTGTGAGATATTCATTGAAAATCTATAGCAAAACGGGGTGCAGGATGTCCTGCAAAACCAACGTTTTTGCAGTTTAATAAACTATCCCTATGTTTGTATAATAGATCCAATTACGGAATGACATTTATAACCCAGGAACAAAAAATGTGTTACCTAGTGTTATATTTTAAAGAAGTTAACAGAAATCCCTAGCTCCACATGAATAGGAAACCCAATAGTCCCCGTTGAAATCTGATGCTTTCTCTCTCCCTTCATTGACCCTTAATTGATGGAGGCCCTTTCTACATAGCTGTATAAAATCCACATTATCTGCTTTGAATTGGATTATATGGCAGTGTAAAAGCAGATAATGTCGATTATATGGCAGTGTAGACTCATATAATCCAGTTCAAAGCAGATAATGTGGAGAGGCCCTGCTCACGCTCCCACCTCCTTCGCAGGTGTGATTGGTGGGGACGAGGGAGAAGGCGTTTTTGGTGGTGGCCCCCCGACTCTGGAACTCACTTCCCAGGGACATCAGACATACCCAACTCTGGCAGTCTTTAGGAGGAGCCTGAAAACGTGGTTGTTCCAGTGTGCCTTCCCAGAATAAGAAAAACTCTCAGCAATACGTCCTCAAAATGCCCTTGGGGAGATGGTAGCGGGGTACAAATAATTTTTTAAAAAAAATATTATTATTATTTGCTTTCATAACCTGGATTATATGGCACTGCAGAAGGGGCCTTCCTCTCCCATCACCTGTCCACCAATTCTGCTACGCTTTTGCTTTCCTTACCCACCTCACTGCCTTTTCTCTTTCTGCACCTGTCAATTCAAGCACTCTTTCTCCACAACCTGTTTTTATTTTCTTCCCTGTTGTTACTCCTTATATCTTATTCTTTCTTACTCATCTTTCTCTTCTTTCACATTGGTGCTCTTCCTCATTCACCTTCCTAACCATCCATCCACCCCTCCAGCTCACTTTAAATTTACCAAGTTCAAATGCCGAAGTTTCATTATCTTAGGACTAGAGGTGGGAAAAACAGATTTTTTTTCTGGTTCCCCCACCCCCAATTTTTCTGGGTTTTTTTCCAGGTCCTCCCATCTCTACTTAGAACTAGGACATAGGGACCTCATTATTAGTACAGATTTGTTTCGTCGGTAAGAATAAAAAAAATGGGTAGCACAAATAACAAAAACAAATGATCTCACTCTTGTGTTCTTTACGCAGGCTTAACTGGTTTAAAGGCATTTGGAACATATTGTTCTTGCCAGAGCTGGATACTGTTACCTTGAGCCACCAAAATGTGTGGTTTCCTCTCATTTCCCTGAGTCTCTTTATGTTTGGGACTGCCATAGCCTATTGGAGTGGCATACTCTTCAATTTATCTCTAAAGCTTTTGTCTTCAGTGCATCTAGCTTTGATCAGGTAAGGACAAAGACGTTGGCCTGTTATTAAATGGATGACATAGTGAAACGTTATTCAGCAACTGAACTAAACTGGAAAGTGATCCTCAACCTATAGAGGTAATAGACCATAGAGGGGTTTATCAAATGTTGTTCAGTACTTCATTTGAATCAATAGCATAAGATGGTAGCAATAAATTTGATTAACAAGTGGGGTTAGCTAATTCATTCTTAGAGTCAGGATTTCTAGCTTATGAAGAGATAGCTTTTCTGTACATTAATGTAGAAGTACATCAGCATTTCATGGCAAAGGTCTTGATGCAAACAGCCTGGATCCCTTAAGTCTGTCCTAAAAGCCTACCTTGATTGGTTTTGAACATTGGAAGCTTTAGTTGATTGTTTCCCTGAAAATAATTTTAGTTGGTGGATTCAAACAGTAGAGTTAAGATTTTTTGTAATAATTTTGTGAAGCCCTTCTTGTATCTCAATGTGATAATAAAAGGGAAAGGTGGCCTTTACTTCCAACAAGGATCTTCTATTATGGTTGAAATTACATTTTGTTCACCTGGATATATCTCAAAAGATCGGTTGTCTGGAGGTTTTGCTAGTGTGCAGATTTATTAACAGTTAATCAACTAAACTAGAGGAGCCCCCGGTGGCGCAGTGGGTTAAACCCCTGTGCTGGCAGGACTGAAGACTGATAGGTCGCAGGTTCAAATATGGGAGAGGCGGATGAGCTCCCTCTATCAGCTCCAGCTCCTCATGCAGGGACATGAGAGAAGCCTCCCACAAAGGATGATAAAAACATCAAATCATCTGGGCGTCCCCTGGGCAACGTCCTTGCAGACGACCAATTCTCTCACACCAGAAGCGACTTCCAGTTTCTCAAGTCGCTCCTGACACCCCCCCAAAAAAAATAAAATAAACTAGAGCACAAACACTAATAATTGATTGTGAAATAGTAAGAACTCCATAAGTACTGTATTTGTAGGAATATTCTTACCTTCAGGTTGAAACACTGGTTCACTGTTTGGATATTCACTGTTTGGATATTAGTTTAAAGTACAGAAATCATTGTTCACAAACTGACTGATCACATTTTTTTCCAGTTCGTTTTCTTTTTCTTTTTCCAGATACTGAATTTGGTGTAAAATAGATCTCATTTCCTCGTAAAGATAGTCATTTACGATATTTCTGTTCCAAATCTTTAATGGTAGACTTTCATTTTTCAAACTGCAGCCTATTCATTACTTGCTTTTATTTTTGAAGGTTAGATATCAAGATGGTCTTTGACTTGACTTTCTATTTTAGTCTTTGAAAATTGCAGTGACTTTGCACCTACACATTATTGTATCTACCAGAACAATAGTTATTTCTGTGCTCTCGGCATGATTAAACTTGATTTTATCTCCCAATTTACTTTTTATATCCTTTATGATTGTACAGTGCTCTCTTTCATGAAGGAAGAATGGTCTGTTATTCAGAACCCGCGTTTATTAAAGTAACACTGGCCAGGCTATCCAGACAAAGCAAAAATAAATACACCCTTTTGGATTTTGTCCCAAGATAGTCAAAATGTTTGTGTCTTTCTTTGGTATTTCACAAGGCCGTAAAAGATCCACAGCTAGTATAATTGTAATGCTATTATTATTTTACTGTAGCTGGACCTACTTTGAAAACTCTACATAATAGAAGGGGAAGATTCTATAAACTCTACAAACCTAAAATGAATAATTCTCTTTTTTAGTGGGGAAGGACACTGATTTGGATGAAAAGTAAAATTTGATTCTCCTTGTGAGTCTTTCTGTCCTTATTTCTTGACAAAACATAGTTTGATATTGCTTGTGAAGTCAGATCAGTGTAGTCTGAGGGTTTCGTTTATAAGTAATGACTAATTATGGTTTGTTAAGATACGGTGATGGAAGAAATAAAAAGAGAAGAATGTTTGCATTGACCATGAGATTTGCTAAGAAACATTGAGTTCCTTAAACACCTTTTGCTAAAATGCATATTACAAATAAATGTTATTATAGAATTTAAACATAACCATATATATATAATTTGACAAACTGTGTCTTTGTACAAATGAGCAAAATGAAATTTTACTTGAAATTTAACATTGGTTATTGCCACACTTCCAAAGGCTTCTCCATCTTTGGCACAGAAGTAAACTTATCACTTTGTGCAGCTAAGTGAAAAAAAAGATAAGGTCAAAGTAGATAAACAATTGTAAACTATATTTTGAATATGGTAACTTTAATCCATAGATTGGGTACTAAACTATGAAGAGCGGCATTTGTCATGGAGTCTGAACTGAATCTTTATGTTTTGCAACTTGGTTAATATTTAATTATATGAATATTTTCCTCTTTTGCTAGACCCTCTGGACTACCATCAGATAACAGTTTGATTACTCGAAGAAGGTTGTGCGTTGCTGCTTCTATGATTTTTCTTAGTTGGACAACATGTGGGTCGTTGGTTATAACAATCACTTACTTCCATTACATCTTCAAGGTATTTAACAGAATCGCGGTATGCTGAATGATGCGTTTGAATAAAATACCGATATTTTAAAGCCATGACATTTGGATGTAGGTTTTCACAGCCAGAATCTCTGGAGTGTTGTGTGGTTTCTGGGCTGTATGGCCGTATTCTAGCAGCATTTCCTCCTTACGTTTCACCTGCATCTGTGGCTGGCATCTTCAGAGGATAAATCATAAATCCTCTAAAGATGACAGCCACAAGTTCAGGTGAAACATCAGGAAAAAATGCTGCTAGAATACGGCCATACAGCCCAGAAACCTCACAACACTCCAGTACAGTGTTCTCAGCCTATGGGTCCCCAGGTGTTTTGGCCTACAACTCCCAGAAATCCCAGCCAGTTTACCAGCTGTTAGGATTTCTTGGAGATGAAGGCCAAAACATCTGGGGAACCACTGCTCCAATAGATAGTTATGCCTTATCTGCTTCCAGAGCATTAGCATGATATCCATTGTATGTGAGATATCATTTGTGTAGAGGTCTAGCTCGTAGGCATGAGAGCTCATACACATAAGGCCTTTACACACTTTACACCCCAGTATGATTATCTTGAACATGGGATGGTGGATTTTTCTACATCCCTTTGGATAATCTGTATGGAGTTGGATGATGAAGGTAGTCGACCAGAGACAAAAGTAGGAGAGCCCTTTTCTCTTTTAGGCAGATGAAAGTTTGGTGTTATATGAACACTGGTTTGGTTCTGGGTTTTGGATTGCTCTTTGGGATTAAGCCAGTGGGCCAGTTATGATAATAATAATAATAACAACAACAACAACAACAACAACAACAACAACTTTATTTAAACCCTGCCACCATTTCCCCAAGGGGACTTGGGACAGCTTACATGGGGCCAAGCCCAACAAAACATCAGTAAAACAAAGGAGTAAGCAGATAAAACAACACAAGTAATATAACTCACATATAAGCAATGACACACGAAAATTTAAAACCTTATGGCTGGGCCAGATGTAATAGATTAAAATTTTAAAATAAACACGGTGTGAACAGAGGTAGAATGTATTTAAGCAGGAGGGGTTTTAAAGGATAATGTAGGGAGAGCAACCCAACGGGTAGTTAAAGTGCTTCTGAGGACATTTTGCAGGTAATTGTTTCCTTTATTCAGGGAAGGCACATTGGAACAGCCACGTTTTCAGGCTCCTCCTAAACACTGCCAGTGTAGGACAGTTGTTATCTTTGCCACAAGTTCTTCCTTTATCTGCACCCTTTATCTGCTCCATTGAGATTTCTTGTTACTCCTACTGTTGGGTTTTATATTGGTGACTAATTTATTACAGCTCAGGGCAACTGAGTTGTATTGTGAGTTATAGAGATCAGTAAGCTATCCATTTCTGAATTCCCAATCATAAGGGTTGAAAAGCAATCTGGAACAGCAGGAAGTATAAAAGCAGAAACGTGTGGGACTGCCATTGTCCATAGATCCAAGCCCTCACTCGTTTTCTACTTCCTTCACAATTAGTGGCCGATAGTTTTAAGAAATGTCTCTATTGATAAATGCATATATGTGCTTATTTGTACAGATTATTAAACTACAATCAATAGTAAGAACAGAACTAAGTGTCCTTAATATGGTAAGTTTGTAACACAACTAATTATTTTGTTTAAGTTGATGATGATTCTCCTAGTGGAGAGAAAAAGTGGAGTATAAATAAACATTAATAATAATAATAATAATAATAATAATAATAATAATAATAGATCTCTTCCAAAGGAGAAACAAAGCTAATCATTGCCGCCTAGGGAAAAATGGTTGTCATAACCTTAGATATGAGAATCTGGTACTCTAAAGTAGATGGAGTTTTGTTTCCCTCTCATGGTTTCTGCATCGAAAGCCTGGCTTCCCTTTCTTCTCAAGTTCAAATTTGGCATTTCTAGCCCTGCTAATCTTTCATTCCACCAGTCTCCCTCCATGATAGTTTTACCTGATGACACTTTAGTTTGATAGCAAGTCCCTCTTCTTCAGCTACTTTGTTGCTTTACCCTTGTCTTATGTTTCTTCAATAAGTAAGGCATAAGTATATGGGTTCATATGAGAACTGCTATAATGGCAGTATGGGCATCATGATAACTTTGGGAAACAAAAGTGATAAATTGGCAACAGTCAGCCCTATTTTGTCATATTTCGTCATGCAGGGGGGAGAAGAATAGGGATATTCCCTTTGCTTAGGTCTGCATCTTTGTTCTGCTCAGTTCTTTACCCAATGCAGGGCAAATGTCTACTTATTAGCATTTGGGCCTTCAATGATTTGGAGCCCTGATTATGCAGAGATGCATGCTCAAGCTTAGCAGCCATTTCAGTGCAGATGATTACCCTGACATTCCTGAGCCCCCCAACTTACATTCCTCAGTTACAAATTTAAGTCACTCTGGCTGGTTCTACACTGTCATATAATGCAGTCTGAACTGCATTATGTGGTCAGTGTAGACCCATATAATGCAATTTGAATTGCACCGAATGGTTCTGCACTGGCAGTGTAGACCCAGCCTCAGTACATTTCCTGTCTTGGCCAAGTGACTAATACATTGCCTGAACTATACTTTTAATTACTTCACCGTATTCCTACATTTAATGCTTATATTTATATTTCATAGCCTTCAAACAACGTGGAACAAAATTCCAATTATTCCAAAAAAGATATTGGAAAGAACTGTGGATCCACAGAGGAGCTTTCGCAATCGTCTACCAGCAGCTCGGCAGTTGATGGCATTATCGATAGTCTAAAGATGCATGTGTCTATCATCAATTTGCTCACGTGGATTGTACTACTTTGTTGTCCATCTTTGATTTATTGGCTAAAAAATCTCAGGTATCTTGTTCTAAATTCATTGGTTTTATTATTTATTATTTATTATTTACATTATTTCTATCCCGCCCATATCAGCCCGAAGGCGACTTTTATAGAGGGGTATTCCTTTAAAATGCTTAAGATTCAACTACTCCAAAGGACTATTGATTCAAAAACTGGAACACCAATAGGGTCCTTTTAATATATGTACTTGCCAGTGCCATTAGTCACAAATTGGTCGTGGGTAGGATCTACGGGTGATATTGCCATTCTGTTTTATTTGTAAACATAAATATGAGAGTCAAGAATATTGGCATTTTTCAATTGATCCTGGAAAGACAGTACTTTGAATTTGAATTGAAAATGCCTGTCAGAAAATTGGTACTGGATATCTGCCTTCAGAATGGGTTGTAATAATCTCCATGTCACACTATTCTTTGGCAATCATCTATGACAGGGGTCCTCAAACTTTGTAAACAGAGGGCCAGGTCACAGTCCCTCAAATTGCTGGAGGGCCGGATTATAATTTGGAGAAAAAAAACATGAATGAATTCCTATGCACACTGCACATATCTTATTTGTAGTGCAAACACTTAAAAATAATACAATAATTAAAATGAAGACCAATTTTAACAAATATAAACTTAATAGCATTTCAATAGGAAATGTGGGCCTCCTTTTGGCTGATGAGATAGGATTATTGTTGTGGGCTTTCAAGTCATTTCAGACTTAGGCTGACCCTGAGCGAGGGCCGGATAAATGACCTTGGAGGGCCGCATCCGGCCCTCGGGCCTTAGTTTGAGGATCCCTGGTCTATGATATAAAAACTACAGTAATTAGATAGGATTGCTTCCATCTTCTTCTTCAGTCACTCCTTTTAGAGAAGCAGCGAAGGGCCTCTATATGTGGCTGTATCCTGAGTTACTAAAAATGGACTTCTATCATCTAGAGACAACCAAGAGTTTAAAATGGTGGAAAGTATGTTAGAGGTATTTCTACAATGGATCTAGTTGATGTGTTTAAAATATTTTATTCAAGCTCCAAGTAGCTCACAGAAATTAAGATTTGTGCTCGTGTCAAAGTATCAACTGCTATAAGCAGCTTTTTCAGCTTTAACACATTTCATTACATAATTGATTATGTCTGTCTGGTTCACCATCTTCTATTTCACTATGAAATTTTTCTCCTCCCTCTGGTTTTGTCCTCAAAATTTTAACTTACGTGATCCTAAGTTGGTCAGGTGGTATTTTCTTTTAACTTAATTACTGTTCTCTGTCAATCCTAATGTGAAAATGTGAACTTTCAAAGGAGCGATTTGCAAAACCCACGTGTCAGTCATATCTCTCTTTTTCATTAGGTACCATATCAGACTGGATCCTGATCCATGTAGAACTCTTGCTGTTATCCTCGTCTCTGTATTGGGGATACTCATGAACACCAATACTTCAAAACTTAAATCAAGGTACTTGAGTCTATTCTCTTCCTTTTGCATATCTGATGTTTGAAGGTTGTGCAGTTTTTTTATTATTATTCTTTGCCATTAAGTAAATTTGACCCGGAAGTTCTTGGTACATGGAAGTATATGCCCATAGTTTCCTCTATAAGCCTTCCTTCTTTTCTCCCACTGCCTTGGAGGCAATCCACCTCTCCAGAGCTTTTTAAAAAATACCTTATTCCAGTGTTTCTCGCACTGTTCTCCTCCAGGTGTTTTGGACTTCAGCTCCCAGAAACCCCAGCCAGCTTACCAGCTGTTAGGATTTCTGGGAGCAGAAGTCCAAAACATATGGAGGAGCACAGTTTGAGAAACTCTGCCTTATTCTGCGACCTCTCATGAAGCTTTGCATGTAATCCATCACCTTTTGCTTAATTATAATTTATCAAGCAAATGTGGGCAAGCCTGGTCTTGTATTAAAGCTTAATTCAAATCAAGTAGGCCTGGCTCAAGTAACCTTTTCTATAGACTTATAGTGAAGCAGTGCGAGTCTCAATATCGCAGTCTCTTGAAAAGAGTTGTTATGCACTGTGACCAAAATTTTGAAATGCTTTACATTTGGTAATAATGATAATAATAAATCTTTATTTATCCCCTGCTTATTTCCCTAAACGAGACACAAAGTGACTTACAACAGTATACAAAACAATATGCATATGTAAAACAATAACCTGTAAAACAAATTTACAATAAGAAATTAATAAACATATTTAAAAGCATGTATTTAATACAATTATTGCAGGCAACTCAAGAAGAAAGATGGTAAGCATTAGCACAACTCAATAAAAGTTAGCCTTCCTGTTATTACACCTTAGTGACAATAAAAAATGTTATACTGTTCAGGTCCATCTAATCCTGGAATTCTTAAGATCTTTTCAGATTGCATTTTACAGAGTGTTACATGTGCCTTTCCAATCCCAGCACAAACATTGTTTCAATATTAAAAAGTAATTATTAGTTAACTGTTACAGGAGTTTTAGCATAATGATTTGTGTCTATTTGTCTATGTATTTGTGTTTTTGTCTTTTATCGCTGATATGGTCAGTGGACTAATCAATAAATATATCTGTCTATACTAAAAAGCCAGTTTGTAGTACAAATCAATAGGGAATTCATCTGTATTTGTACCTGAAATTCTTTAATAATATTTTGAAAGAATATTGCTTGTGATAATGGTACACTTTATCATCAGGCTACATTAGGGCCTATGTCCACAGAACCAGACATATATTGGTCCGATTTGAAAAGAAGGCAGTCCTCTGTGCCTCATTTTGAAATCTGGTCAACTCTGCCTAGATAGGCCTCTTAATTGAATGTGACTCCAACACTGATACTTTAGGTAAAGGATGAGGTGTTGCCCAAAATGAGATGGATGCAGGTCTCTATCACTTGTGACTGTAAAGCTCCGGACTGCCTTGCTGCAAAGCACTTCTCCTATTAAAAAAATATTCCATTGGCCAAATACTCCATAATGTTTTACCAAGAATGTGTGTCGTGTTTGGCCATTGATATCAAAGCTGTAGTAACCAAAGCACTGTCTTTTATTTATTTTTTCCCCTTACAGTCGACTGTTGAAAATTGCACTTCGTCTTCCACTTCCTTTCTCTGTGGCTGTTGTTGCTTTTGCACCATTACATTTATACAGAGCACCATACTTGATAATCCTTCCTCTTTCTTTCCATGCATTATGCCACACGGTGTGAGACTTTGCCAAAACACAGGGCCAACAAGCAACAGCCATGGGAGACTGAACACAGGATGATCTACGACAGAACGGGGGTGACAAAAATGCCGTTTACTGCCAATGGCTGAAATGGAAACAATATTCAGTATGCAGGATGGGGCATATCTAAAAGTGATATCCTGTTTGGACAATGTGAGGTTTTCTACTGTACTGTTTTCAAGTATTTCTTTAAAAATGCTGTAGAACTATAGACTTCAGTTGCACAGAAGTCTTGCATCTGACACTGATAGCAAGAACTGCAGCACGGTTTCGTTGGTAGGAGGGTAATCAATTTTATTTTTATTTTTTGCCGTTGTGAACTTTTATTGTCCTGTACACTCTTATGTTCTTAAGCACAGTGACCAAAAGGAGTCATAAAATTAAGTCGCCAATAAGACAATCTGAAAGTTCTTAACTCAGTTATGGGCAGCTGTTATAGCTTTATCCTTCCTTGTGTCTATAGTAAACTATAATGCTGTGCTGCTAGACTGTTGCTGGTGACAAATCCAAAGCTCTTTCAGAACCTCAACATCGCTGAAATTATTAAAAGCTTAGTGTGTCAAGATATATTCAGTGTAATTTAGTTTAGTAAGGACAGTATATGAACAATTGTATTGCTAAATTGCAAAGTCTAAAACTCAGAGCAGATTCTTGGGTTACTATTTCGATACAGAGAGATTTATGCTAGTGTACAGATATTGGGAAGCTTATGTGAGGCTGCTGTCCTCTAAAACACACATTTGCTATTTCATGTGATTTTGCAAAATCACATGAAATAGCAAATGCGTGTTTTGGAGGAGGGCAACCTCACGTAAGTTTCCCAATATCTCAGCATATAAAAACAAACTTGTGCATTTGCATAGCTACTCTAATTAGATTAATTATATTTATTAATTCATTAGATTAATTACTTAATTAGATAAAGGGATTTCATATTGAGGATAGCATCTGACACACAAACTGGTTTCTTCAAGAGCAGTGAAATCCTATATCACGCCAGTAGAGTTTATTCATAGAGGAGGTCCTAGGTCAGTGATTCTCAACCTGTGTGTCCCCAAATGTTTTGGCCTTCAACTCCCAGAAATCCTAACAGTTGGTAAACTGTAGGCCAAAACACCTGGGGACCCACAGGCCAAGAACCACTGTCCTAGTGGATCATAGATTACACTCATTGTTATCTCTGTTTTTACCAAATTTAGCATCAGTTTTTCTTCATGAATATCAAACCTTCCTTTAAATAGCATTTTGAAATTTAAATCCATATACCGTCTCCTAATGGTGCTACATCAATGTTAAAAACAATAGAAATAAAATGGAGGAATCACCTTACACCAGAGCTATGCATTTGCACTCTTTTATCTTAAATTAGTTGAAAGTCCCAACATTAGTCATGATTTGTTATATTGACTGATGATTGCAGTTTAACAACCTCTGGACTAAAGGTGGGAATACCTGGAAAAAATGTGTTTTTTCCCATTTTTCCACCCCATCCGCCATTTTTCTGTTGTTTTTTCCCCCCAGACCTTCCCATCTCTACTCTGGAATGCCACAGGTTGGTCACTTTTTTTTTCTTAAGTCAGTGGTGTCAGACTTGTAGCCCTGGCTGGGGTTTCTGGGAGCTGAAGTTCAAAACACCTGGAGGGGAACAGTGCGAGAAACACTGGAATAAGGTATTTAAAAAACAGCTCTGGAGAGCTGGATTGCCTCCAAGGCAGTGGAAGAGAAGAAGGAGAGCTTATAGGGGAACTATGGGCATATACTTCCATGTACCAAGAACTTCCGGGTCAAATTTACTTAATGGCACAGAATAATGTGCCTTCAAACATCCAAGTGTTTTGAATTTCTGCTCCCATAATCCCTTGCCTTTGGACAAGCTGACTACGACTTCTGGGAATTGAAGGCCCAAACATTTGGAGGGCCACAAGTTTGATGCCTTTGTCTTAAATGGTTCTGGAATGATAGAAGAACACATGCTTCAAAAGAATCAAGTATTTCTCTGTTTGCAAATACATTTCAAAAGAATCTGCTCTGAACCAGGAGCCTGAATGGCAAATCCTGATCCTATAAAACCATCTTAAGAACTAACACATTCTCTGGTACCTTACTGCAAGGCATTGTATCCAAAGGCCAGTGCTGCACCCCATCCGTTTGACCACCAGTGACTGTTTTGTAAATATGGTACAGTTTGCTGACCTACTTATATGTATCTGCACCTATGTCTTACTTCAACATTATCCATTGCCTTTATGCCTAACACTGATGTTACTGTACATAATGATTCTCTTCTTCCTCCTGGTTCAATCTAGGAAAGAGACTTTTCTCCCAATCAAAATGCAGTACATATTTCTGTCCTGCCTTTCTCCTGTTTGTATCATTCGTGCCTGAAGTGCCTCAGTTATTAAATAGAAGTGTGTACATATTAATCATTCAGTGTTTTCCCCAATTGCCTTGAAACCCCTTTAGTCTCTCTAAAACTCTGTGTGTGTGAACCATGAAGACCACTCTAATTGTAATAAGTGTTTTAAATGCTGTGCTCTAGATGTAATCTAGCTGCCTGGTCTCAGTATCTTTGCAGAATTTTAATCCTATTTAAAATGTTATGTCTTTGACACTCAAAGATAAGTGATTTGGGCAAACAGCTGTAGCCTTAATTCTCAGAACAGAGATATGTGGTACTGAACGCATGTGAAGGGAGTAAAAGGAGGCAGTTAGCATCCTTTGTGTGGGTTTGTGTACTACTTAGCTGGATAACACTATGTAACAAAATTTGCATTTTTTTTCATTCTGGGTTTGAAAGTGCTATTTCCTTTTTAATAGTGTGGTAGTTACTTTGAAAGTAGTTGTTATACTCCAGAAACTTCTTTTTTTGAAGCTGCCACAAACCCTATGGAACTGGTTGAGACTTGATGAGACACTATTTGAAATGTTAGAGAAAAATGTGCTGCAGGATGTCCTGCAAAAGCAAATTTTTTGCAGTTTAATCATTTTTTCCATGTTTTTATGATATAACCAATTAGAAAAGGACATTTATAACCCAGGAACAAAAACAGTGTTACGTAGTGTAATGCACAGAGTTGTTGTAGGTTTTTTCGGGTTATATGGCCATGGTCTAGAGGCATTCTCTCCTGACGTTTCGCCTGCATTTATGGCAAGCATTCCTCAGAGGTAGTGAGGTCTGTTGGAACAAACTTTTGTTGAGAGGTGATTAGATGTCCTTGTTTGTTTCCTCTCTGTTGTTGTGCTGTTGTAATTTTAGTGTTTTTTTATGCTGGACCACTCTCACAACCACCATGTCAGACTACACAGAGAAGCCATTGAAATCCACAAGCATGTGGACAATTTAAACAGAAAGGAGGAAACCATGAAAATGAACAAAATCTGGCTACCCCCCCCCCCCCCCCCCCCCCCCCCCCCCCCCCCCTCCCCCCCCCCCCCCCCCCCCCCCCCCCCCTCCCCCCCCCCCCCCCCCCCCCCCCCCCCCCCCCCCCCCCCCCCCCCCCATCAGTATTAAAAACTCTAAAATTACAACAGCACAACAACAGAGAGGAAACAAACAAGGACATCTAATCACCTCTCAACAAAAGTTTGCTCTAGGCACTGTCAGGCCATTATATGCTAATCAAGGTGGTCAGTTGAAACATTCACACCTAGCTCCAGCAGACAAGAGTCCTTTGTCTCACCCTGGTCATTCCACAGATATATAAACCCTTTTTCCTAGTTCCAACAGACCTCACTACCTCTGAGGATGCTTGCCATAGATGCAGGCGAAAGTCAGGAGAGAATGCCTCTAGACCATGGCCATATAGCCCAAAAAAAAAAAAACCTACAACAACCCAGTGATTCCAGCCATGAAAGCCTTCAACAATGTAATGCACAGACTTTGCAAGGAGTCCCTTTTGCTTGCTAAGTTGGGCTTCTTGCCAGTAGATGGCAACCTTTGCAGAAACAGCAACCATCCAGGGACCTCATTTAATGTAGCCTGACCTTGAGCGGTCCTTTGTGCCTCATAATAGCAGGAATGCCAATCAAGCAGTATATCAATAACAGCTATCTGTATTCCTGTAGAATAAGCACTATGTCTTTAAGGGCGTGATTGTGGTACATAGTGCAGGATTTTGGCAGATACCCTTCTCTTGTTTTGTCATAGTGCTACAGAAATAAAAATGGAACTCGCCAAATATCTCATCATCAGGCAGTTACTTTAGGGCACTGGGAGTCCTGCTTGGAAGCTTGCCACTCTGTTTAGGATGCTAAGAGGCAAGCTTCTCTTTTTGAAAGCTGCTTAATTTGGTTCAGATTATTTTTACTGAGGCTGAATCTACACTGCTCTATATCCCAGGATCTGACACAGATAATCAAGGATCAGATCCTGGGATATAGGGCACTGTAGATCCACTATTCTTTTGCCTGTTCTGCACTACCATGCATGTCATGTAGGTTATATGATGCACAGTATTTTTCTTATCTTTTCTCTCTTTTTTAATCTGGTTGTGAATCAATATATTTATAGTTCCACATTTTGTATGTATTTTGAAAGTACTTTTATACTTGGAGCGTCTGAAACAATACAGTCTATCCTTACCTACACAGATGTGAGCCACATGCCATCTGTGTCTATCAAATCTCATTGTCTAACTTCTGCATAGATATGTAGCACTGTCTGTACTTTAAGTAAAATAGAATATAGAAATTATGTTTAAATCAGTATCTTCCCTCATAAAACATTAAATTTGGCCTGGGTCCAGACAGACACAGTTGCACCCCTTCAAGTCTGCCATTTTCAGAAAGTACTTCTTCCAAAATATTTGGACTGGTTTTTATACCTCTCTAGGTTCTAAAGGGCCACTAGGTGGTGCAGCGGGTTAAACCACTGAGCTGCTGAACTTGCTGACTGAAAGGTCAAGAGTTTGAATCCGGGGAACGGGGTGAGCTCCCACTGTTAGCCCCAGCTTCTGCTAACCTAGCAGTTCAAAACATGCAAATGTGAGATCAATAGGTACCATTTCTGCGGGAAGGTAACGGCACTCCATGCAGTCATGCCAGCCACATGACTTAGGAGGTGTCAACAGACAACGCCAGCTCTTCAACTTAGAAATGGAGATGAACACTACCCCGCAGAGTCGGAAACGACTAGACTACATCTCAGGGGAAACCTTTACCTTTTCTAGGTTCTAAAATATTTCTTGGGAGATAACAACTGCCAGTGTGCCATTGCTCTTTATTTTCTCTTTGAATTGTAACACTTTGTGGATTTAACCATGAAACAGATGTCTTTTGAAAAGCTAACTTGGGGAGGGCATTAGAACACTAATCCAAACATTTGTGGGCAGTATTCAAAAAACTAGAGCTTTTTGAATATAATTAATGATGGCATGGGTGCCTACTGTTGAACAAGTAGGCACCCACGTCAGCAAGTCAACATGTCCAACTAGAACTTTGGATCCTGGCCTAGAGGTGGTATGGAACTTAACACTACATTTTGGAAGATTGCTTTGCCATGCCTCAAAAACACAGTTTTTCTGTAGACTCTGTTGATAAATGCTAGTTTGATGTACGGTCTTGTCTATGAACAAATGTCAGAGTACATGGAAACATTTTCCCATGTAAGTTCCTCTAAAAGGATGGCTTGTTTGTACACTTGAATCATACTTCCATTTGTGACTCAAGTGATGGAATCAATCATGCTGTAGATCAGTGGCTCTCAACCTGTGGGTCCCCAAGTGTTTTGGCCTACAACTCCCAGAAATACAAGCCAGTTTAACAGCTGTTAGGATTTCTGGGAGTTGAAGGCCAAAACATCTGGGTACCCACAGATTGAGAACCACTGCAGATGCTGCGGAGAAGCAGTCTACAATCCCATAGGTTCCATCCCTTGTGCAGTTTCTTCCAAGTCAGGAATCCAAAGGGTTTTTTCCCCATTCAAGACCACTGACTTTATTTTCTCTCTCTTTTCAGATTTCTTTTTTTTTCCTTTTCCTGGGACTCAAGGTAGCTTACAAAATTTAAAAAACAAATGACAGTTTGACGTACTTAGAGAGATATTAATTAAGCTGTCCCTAAAATTAAAACAAATTAAAATAAAACCATTATAAAGGCAAAAGATAAAAATCAGTAAAACTACATACTATTAAAACTCCCTGTGGTAAGTTTCTAAAAGCCACTCAGAATAGAAAAGGTTTTCCTTAAAAGGGCAGCAAGGAGGGAGCCATTCGTGCCTCTCCATGGAGAGTATTTTAAAGCCTGAAAGCAGCAACTAAGGCCCCTTTTACACTGCCATATAATCCAGATTATCAAAAGCAGATAATCAACATCTGCTTTGAACTGGATTAAATTCGTCTACACTGCAATATAATTCAAAGTTATATGTTCAAAGTTATATAGTTCAAAGCAGATATTCTGGATTTGTTATGGTAGTTTAGAAGGCTTACAAAGCTTAGCATTCTCAGTTTTACAAATATTAACAATTTCATTGCCTTAGAAATCCATGCACTTTGCTATAGCAACTTGCAGTTATTAACATACCTCTGGATCTTTGTGCCAAATCTATACTTTGGAAAAGAGAGAGAGAAATTGAGTATTACGTCACCTCTCCCATGTCTTTGCTCTTACCACTGTTGTGCATATTAAGGATGAGATACTGTATAAAACACATTTGAATACTTTATCTGTAGAAAACACTATAAGGTAAATGCAGTCCTAGTTGCTAAATTTAGAATTGTAGTGCTTTCTATTTTGCACACAATGTAATAAGTTATGTAATAAGTAAGAGTATAAGCTATAGTCTTCCCTTAATGAAGATTGTTTAAAGACCTAAAATAGCAAGATACTGTGAGTTATAATCCGGAGAAGCTGAAAACCAGTACTTCCCACCTTGAGGCTTACGAAGTGTAGCAATTGTATCTAAAGATGGGTTGTTCAATGTAATGGAGGGTCCCTTTAAAGGTGGGAAAGCCAATAATGTGAAATATAGGAACATGGAAATGTGCACCATAAAGTGTGTGGTGGTCTTCATCACATCTAAATGTTCTCTGTCTGCGCGTCATGGCTCCCATCAATTGAAATGGAAATACATAGATTGAAGCAAAGCACATGACTAAATTACAGGATTTGGGCTCAGTTCTGCTAATATTTCTATTTTGAATGGAGATGAACGGTAATCGGGTTTGGCTTGATACCATAAATCGATTAGATTCTTGGTTATATGGCTGAAAGGATTGCTTGGACTTAAATGCCTAAAATACGGTATTGTCTGTGCTTATAATATAGTAAGTCTATACAACTTGACCTCTGTTAAATCCAAGCTTGATCCACCAGGCATATATGGCACCATACTATTTCTGATTGTGTTTTTAATGCCAATACTGGTACATTAAAGGGGAGATGGGGAGTAGCACAGATATTTCGCAGCAAGAAAAGCTCTATA